ATCGGCTGCCAAACGTCTGTTACAAACTAGTCGTACGATACACATTATAACAGCTCTTTAAGGTATTACATAAAAGTTTTATGACAGGCTAGACTTTCTATAGGTTGACATTAGATATAGTTTGTATTTGTGTAAGTCACTGAGTGTTTGAAATGAAATGATTCCAACGTTTCAAACGGAAGTCTGCTCCGAGCTTCTTCAGGGAAAAGCTTAGGTAACATGCGTAAGAACATAAGAGTCTATTACAAAGAAAAGATGATCATTTAACCGCATACATTTTCAAGTAATTCCAGCAATTTAGTCTTATATAAATAGGGTTTTCAAGTGGTTCTAGGTGAAAAAATCCACAAGCATATGAGCAAGTGAAAGTGGAAGTATCAGTGAGAGGAATAAACCTTTTTCCTTTAATTCATGTCTCAAAGAACATACGATTGCTACTTTTTTAAATGAACTTTTCAGTCAGGTTGAAAAGACTGCAGAGAAGAAAGTGAAATGGAGACGCGCTGCTGAAGCCCTATGTTCCACTAGGATCCCAAAGGACAAGTACTACTACTACTACTAATAATAATAATAATTACTAATATTAGTGAAACGGACCCTAATGTAGTTGTACAAACGTCGTTTACACCCATCTAAAGGCCTGTTGGAGAGGTATTTTAAAATTTGTTGAGGGATTAGCCATAAGGTGGTTTAGGCCACCTTTATTTTCAAAAATAATTTGTCATCACATTAAACCTCTCTTGGTAAACTTGGTTTTTGAAGCCAAGGTTATTGTACTATTAGATTTTTGTTGTTGCTTTATTGACCTTTGTTGTTATTTTGACCTCCTTCTTGTTTGAACGATAATCAGTTTCCTATGTCTTAAATGCAGTTTTTCAAATCAATAACAAGGACGTGTGTGGTCAGATTGCGCTGCGCAAATACAGAGTGGCTTTAAAGGCCATCCTAGCAACTTATCAAACAATGAACGTATCCGAAACACTTTTTCAAAACAATTTTTGGGAAAACAATAAGGCGTAACCTGTCTGAATGGCCACCCTAACAACAACTGAAATAACCAATCAAACTCTTTTATTTTATAAAAATCTGGGGTGACTTCAAAGGCCACCACAGTAACAACTGAAATGACCAATCAGGCCTAGGCATTTCGTCTAGAAAGTACTTTTCCATAAAATAAAAGAATGAAATTGCCTGACTCAACAAATATTTACCAAGTACAGTAACCTTGGCTTCAAAAACCGAGTTTACCAAGGGAGGTTTAATGTGATGACAAATTATTTTTGAAAATAAAGGTGGCCTAAACCTCCTTATGGCTAATCACTCAACAAATTTTAAAATACCTCTCCAACAGGCCTTTAGATGGGTGTAAACGACGTTTGTACAACTACATTAGGGTCCGTTTCACAAATAATAATAATAATAATAATAATAATAATAATAATAATAATAATAATAATAATAATAATAATAATAATAGTAATAATAATAATAATATGGTTGATTGTGGCTAGCGGAAGAATCCAAGACGCGCGTTTCGTCCCGTTTGGGACACGTAACCTGGATGTACTTGCACCCAAGTGATTTTGTTCCAACTGAAACTAGAAACATGTACGCGTCGCTTCAAACACCAAGGCGTTATCCACTATGCCATGGAGGAGCTGTAGCTACGTCTTGTAAAACGGGTAGTGGTTATTATTTTATATTCATATACTTTTTATTCTCCTTTGATTTGCTGGCACTGAAACCGTAATGTTCAAGCAGTTGCCTGCCAAATTAATTCTCGGTCGACGCTGTCGAAGGCCTTTTCAAAGTCGATGAAGTTGAGGTAAAGGTACAGTGGACTGCCATTCTATGCTCTGTTCTATGATGATGCGTATTGTAGCGTTACAATCTGATCAGCACATAATTTCTAATCCCTAAAGCCGGCCAGCCAGCCAGCCAATTCCGGTCGTAATTTTGAATCCAGCTCATCTTTTAGTCACTCCAGGATAATCCGGCTTGATATTTTTCTTGAAGTGGACAGGAGCATGATTCCGTGCCAGTTCTTGCAAACACTAAAGTCACCCTTCTTTGGGAGTTTGACAAGGTAGCCCTTCTTCCAATCAATGGGAAGGTACCTTTCCTTCCCTCCTTCCTTCCTTCCTTCCTTCATACTAAACCTTCTGCAATAGTGGTGTGAGCATGTCCGCTGTTGTCTCTGAGTCTGTTCTCAGTGCCTCTGACAGGATTCCATCTGGTCATGCTGCTTTCCCGCATTTCAGCAGCTTTATGAGTTTCAAGACTTCGGCTTTACCGGAGGGCCTGGATTCACTGGCAGTTCTGTGGCTGGGCTGCAGGTGGTATTTCTGGACTAGTTGCAGGTGGTGGTGGTGGTGGTGGTAGTAGTCGATTCAAGAATTTTCTGAAGTGGTCATCCCATCGTTTCCTTTGCTTCTCCTCTTCGGCGTTAGCTAGGTTTCATTCACTATCTTTCATTGGCTTCGTCCACGTTGATCTCTTCCCTCCCAGATAGTAATCTGGTTATTTGATATAGTGTTGTCAGGTCTCTATCTCGCCTACCTGCATTCTGTTCTCCTTCACTTGCCAGTGTGTCGTAGAAGTGTCTCTTGTCTTTCTCTGCACTCTTCTTCACTTCTTTGTCCAGTGTGGTGTTTTATAGGTTTTGCTTAGTTCCTCTTTTCTTTGTTCATCCCTGCACTGCACTGCACTGCACTGGACTGGTTCATCTTCTGCTTCACCACCTTCCTATCCCTCCTCTATCACATCCATTGTATCTGTGTCGATCCTTTCCTTGTCTTGCTTCCTCTTCCTTCCCAACACAGTAATGCAGATTTCCTTCCACGTCTCTTTCAAAGAGTTCCAGTGTTCATCCACTCAGGTTCCTTAATGGATGTTGTTTAGTGTCACCCATTTTGTCTTGATGACTGATGTGAAGATGTCCTTTGTAGTTTCGTCCTTCAGTTATTGTTCTCGGTGTTCAACTTCAACTGTGGTCTATCATCACCAACTTGTGTGAAGGCTTTCAACTTGATTTTGAAGGTGGTTATGTTTCTTGTACTAGATGGTGAGTGATGTGAACCTACATCTGCTCTCCTTCTTCATCTGATATGATCTGATCTGATCTGATCCTGTGTCCAGTAGGCTGCATCTCCTCTTATTTCAGATTGAGATGAAGTCGATCTGATTTCTAGTGTATCCATTTGACAAAATCAAATCCATGTCCCTCCCTGCCTTGAGAATATCCTCGTGTTTGTACACACTACCTCCAATCACCAAATCATTAAATGTGCAGAAGTCTGCAAACAGTCCTCCATTCTCACTCGTCATTTCACTGAGTGCTTCTCTACCCATGGTTAGTTCTCTTCCTGTGTTGTCCCCTCCCAATTTGGCATTCATGTCACCCCACCCATTAGAATTTTGATGTCGCCACCTAGGATAGAGTCTTGTCCAGTGCTGATTGCAGTTGTCTGTAGAGTTCCTCCTTCCTCTCTTGTTCTGCGTCTGCATTATTTGTAGGTGTGTTGCGTGGCATTTTATGATTGTGACTTTCCTTCCTTTCGAGTTGAATCATGCTGTCATGACCCTGATCCTGTTGGGAGAGATTGTTTCCCACTGCATGACAGCTGTCGATGCTCATTGGGGATGTCATGGTGGCCACTCGAAAACTCAGTGTGCTCGTGGTTGTCGTCTGGGTGACAGTATTGGAGTAGATTATTGACTCCTCTCCAGTTGACAGTTTGGAGAGTCTATTTCCATTCCATCTGCAGATTCCTCGCAGATCTCTAGGACTTCTATGCTTTACCTTCTCATCTCTTTTGGAATCTGGGTGGCCTTCTCTCTCTCTTCACGGTATCGCCACTATCATTCCTAACATTATTATTGCTACTATTCACATTTGTGTTACTAATATTGGTCATATTTTTTTTGCTATTCGTAAGGAACTCTTGAATTAATTTGAGAGGGTAATTGTTGTTGAGTTAGGTAACCTTAATGTATTTCATTCCTTGTCTCATATCTTCGGTTTTACTAGTAAGTTTTTTGGCTCTGTTACTTAGACACTTTGCTGAACCAACTTTTTCTAACATAGGGTGAGACGATTTGAAGTCTGAGCAACGATTCAAGTGCGGTTTTATATGGACACAAGTGCATAAACTCCTATTTTGTTTTCGTTTTATTGTCAATCTATCATCATTTCGTCTTCACCATTTTCTAGTTGATAGATGAAATGGATTGCGTTGACTACTGAATTTGTAGGTGTGAAGAGACTATGTATGTGCTCTGATTTCGACACTGTGAATGTCTCGTCTGCATATCGGGACCATACTTTTGAAGCAGGACTAAATGTTTCGACAGCCATCCTTTCCCAACTATCCATAAATCTGTCTGCGAAGATAGAGGATATTGGTGATCCCATGGCAATTCATTCTGTTTCTTTGTACATTTTATTCTGAAACTTAAATATTGTGGGAGTTAGGTATAACTGTACTCCTAACACGATCTCATCTACTTGAACCTAAGTTCGGTTAAATTATCATCGTTATTGTTATTAAACCTTTTTCATGAGAAAACAATGTGTTTCAAAATAAACGGAAATTGAGCCTACTATATACAGTCTAATGATAGAATATTTGCTATTCCTTTGGAATTCACGTATATTTAGTTCTAAATACAGTAACTGGGCATTATGTTATGCAATACTATTCTGATGCTGATAGGATAGCATACGAAAATCAAAAATCTTAAGAGATTCAAAGAGTAGTACTTGTTTAGAGAAACTAAAACAACTATTTATATAGAATGAAGTAGGTTTTCATTGATTGAATATTCTTGTGTGACATACACAGTGAAACTCTAACTCATAATTTTATTGGAAAAAAAAGATTATGGATTTTTACTAGAAAGCGTTTATTGTTCTAGTGCTTTTTCCTTATGAACAACTAAATTTTATTTCATTTAACATAGCTCATTTTATCCCTTTTATTTTTAAAAATATTCTGTAGTCTTCTTTATCAAAAGCGCCAAGAATTAAGTGATAAAGCCAATAAATTAACAAATGGTCTGGATAAAATTGATGAGACGCGCAAAAAGGTTGAAGGTAATGAAGTTTTAAACCTTTACAATCATTTTTATGATCATTTGGTTAGGTGATTGAAAGCGAAATGAAAATTCGGACCGCAGCCGGATTCGAAACAGCGACCATCGGGTTTCCGGCTCGATATTCTTCCAACTGAGCTACGAGGTTCGACTGCTGACCAGACTTTTATTTCATTTCAGTAATATGATACTCCCCCTCTCTGATTCAGTTGGACTGGGATGAGAAGTCCGGACTAGGCAGCCAGTGTGAATACTATCAAGCGGTTGTAACGCGTCACGAATTCATATGGTAGTCGGGAAAAACCCTTGGTGATTGAAGTGAAATAGAAATCTGGTCAGCAGTCGGACCTCGTAGCTCGGTTAGTAGGCCAGCGGACCGAAAAGCCGGTTGTGGCTGGTTCGAATCCGGCTGCGGTCCAACTTTTCATTTCACCTTCAATCATCACCCAGTATCAAACATTTTCGTGCCGTCCCACACGTTCTTTAAATTAACGTGAATTAATTTGATTGGTGTTGACTAGCAGAGAAGTCTAAGATGCATGGTTCTTGCTGATTAAAACTCGCTATCTGTATGTACCTGAATCTCAATGAATGACGCAAGCTCATCAGCTAGTGCTTCAAACACCTTAACTTTATCCACCAGGCTTCTGAGTCACCACAACAACTTTTTATGTAACAGGTCGCATTATCCCCGTAACAAGTCGTAAGTAGTATAAAATATGTGTCCTTGGCTCTCGTCCTAGCTATCGCTAGTCAGATTACATCACAATTAATCTTCAAGTAATCTTAAAATATCTGCATAGCAGTCTATATGCCAGTAGAGACCGTTTAATTCAGCCCAAAACAACGGTTGAAAAGGAGGTACAAGTATCAATACATAATCATTTAAATGTAATTTGAGTAGTGAGCGATTGATTATGATTAATCCTCTACTACCGCAATGTCAGAAGTCAAGTTTCTTACATATTTTTTTGTTTAAGGTTTGTGAGGATTCTGTTTATTTTGTAGTAGTATTCATCATGGACTGAAATCAGCTGGAGAACCATTGGACACCCAAGATGTCAACAATTTCTAATGAGAAGTCATGATGTATGAGGTCACTTATGTTGGAAGTGAAGTGGATGCTAACTGAAGACCTTGGTGGATAGTCACTCGGTATCATGAATTGAAAGAATTAAGTAACTATGGATCTCTAAATGCTGACACAGCCTCTCTCGTGAGACCTGAATGTTTTAAGTTCAATCGGTAGCGGAGTTTTGGGTGTGTACGGCTGAGGAGTTACTTGATAAAATGAAAAAGTTATCCAACTGATGTCAGTTCGTGATACTACCTTGACATATCTTATTCACAAGGAAAAAAGATTAACAAAAGAATGAAAAATAGTCGAAAGACTTAGGCCACTTACTTAAAGATGCGACAGCATCTAGGACTAGAATAGCAGATATTTAGTTTATCACAGAGATGGAGTACAACTTCATTTACACAAATGGCCTCGATTTTCAACCGTTTCACCCAGCCACCAAGCTTATATAGATGATACTAATAGTTTTCATCATTGGGTTTAGGTAAGACTATATAATTTTTAACATCTTAAGCTAAAAGTAATCTGCTACATAAGTATCCCAATTCGATTAGATAATTTTCTGGCTGCCGGAAATCCTTGAATAGTTCAAAAGAGATCATTTTAAGTGTGCCATTGAGAAATTACATAAAAAGGGTGATGGTGAACACCTTTAGTGACTACTAATCATCGTGGCCAGTTCAAGTTAATGTGCGAATCTGAATAAAGTATACAAACACTTATCTCTATTATCGGTATGGTTCGATCTCACTTACGGAAAGAAGTGTTTATAGCATTAGTTTTTTCAGTAAATCTCACCGTTTTAAATCAATCAACAAGCAAGAAGATTAAAAGTTGTTTTATTAAACGACGGACCGTGTATTGTAGATTTAAAATAACTACTCACTCGGTTGGTTTGACTTAACAATTTCTACTCTACATTGATTGATTACTGGAGAGCAACCAATCTCTTTTTGTCTAACTCTGAATGCTGACTGCATAAGACCGATCAGATACGCTTTCTTGCCGATTACCTCCGACTGACTAACATTCATGAAAGTTCACCGCGATGACGTGCCACTTAGGTTGTTGGTTCCAATCTCATAGGGGAGATCAGTTCCCTCAAGGTTGCAGATACGCCTGCTTGACAAGTGCCAACAAGAAGAAAAACTAGGTCCAACAGGGCTTCTTACCTACCGCCTCTATCCAACTAACATACTTCTATTCTTTCGGAAGTTACAAACGCTTAACTTCTTGAAAGGCTGACAAACAACATAATCAACATATGAAGAATATGTCAGTATAAAACTTACAAAGCTGACGAAAAATTTATCTCTAAGAATTTCTAAATGCTAACAACCACTTCGTTACAAAAAATTTTCCATATTTTCGTGTTTTAAATAGCTTTTAGGTGTCAATGGTTTCAATGGTTTCCTTATTAATTTGTTACCATTTACTTATTACATGTTGGTATGCATTTATTGTATCCTTAGTAATGTCTGTGGAATTAGAAGAGGCTCGTAAGAAGGTTTCCGCTTTTCAGAAAGAATGTGATGATTACTTGGTGGTCATTGTTCAACAAAAACGTGAAGCTGATGAACAAGCTAAGGTAAGCATTTTATTAACAGCAGCTTATTTATTTTTTAAACACAAAAAGGGTTTAAATTAGTGTATGGTTAGTGGTTCAATAAACCAACGTATATGCCTGTGACAGTTTCTATATTATAAAGGGTGTTTTAATGTCATTTCTGTAACCATTAATAATGTATTTTGCAGTGAATGACGATAGTTGTCTACCATCTGCGCTTATTGACGTCTGCGAGTCCCGTTGCTTTTTTGTAGCCATTTTGGTACATGCTCCCCCACATTGTCGAAATATCTCTTATGAACAGTAGTTTCACTAATAAGATTACCGTCCAAACTTTCAGTCTGTGTATGACCTGTAAATATCAGCTCACAATGATCTTAGAGGACTTCACATTGCTACGCCATCCTTTATCGGGTTTAAGAATGATTACATCAGATCTACTTCAGAGTCGTTTTAAGACTTTGAAATGTTGTGTGGTTAGAATGCTTCTTTGTCTCCAGCCTGAACTATGGAACTGATGGACAATGTCCACTGGCTAAGGCTCCAACCAACTCTGATTATCTGACGAGGTTGGGATAAGGGGAAATAAGTAATCAAATCGGGCATCAATAGCCAAATATAAAACTGTAAAAGTGAATTCAACCGAAAGCTCCTGCTTTTCAAAAATCGAAGATTAAACTGAGGATAGATTAATCATATATCTGTCTGGATTAATTTAGAATGAGGTAACATGGGTTTCATAATTACGAGACTTTGACAACTATCGAAAAAAGTCCCATTTAAACATAAGAAAACACACGATTACAGCGAAGAAAAATTTTTCTTTTCGATGAAATCATTCTCCTACCTGTACATTCGTGAAAACATAGTAAAAAGGATGGAACATTCCAGAGTAATTGCTGGTCAAAAGTCAATGTAAATTGCATCACAGAGAAAAGTTGCGTAATGGGGAAATAAACAAAATAATTACGAAGTAAAAATAAAAATAGTTACGTCATATGTGGGTTATTTAGAGTGGTTGATAATTTACGATGGACTTGAAAAAGAAAGAGGTTGTACATAACTCTTTGGAATGCATAATGGTGGTTTGAGTTTTTGAGTCGCTAATGCTTCAGCCATCCACAGATGTATTAGCCTCACTCCTTTCGAGTGGCTTGGTTGCACTTTGTACAGAATTTTGAAGTACTTATCAAAAGGAGCCAAATGTTCTGAGTTTACTAAATGTTATGTTTCAGAGCTGAGGATGCATTTTTATGCTTTCCTTGTCAGCCAAGTTAAATAGTGTTCGCAAGCGCGTTGCATAAGCTGGTGCGTGTACTCGGCTCCATAGAAGCTAGTAAACTGATATACACACATTTATGTGACACATTGCTCTGCCTTGTCGTTTACGTGCTGACGAATGAGTTTCTGACAGAACGATGTGACTCTAGGATTCTAAGTATATCTGACACATTATCTCCCTTCGAGGTTCAGTAGTAAAATCTTTTTCGAAGTAGTTTGAACGCTTACTGTGGCGTTTCTTGGCTTTAGATTTTTATCTATACATTTTAGTGGGCATCCATTTTTCACTAGGATTTCTCGCAAGTTTTCTAGTTCCTCATGGATGGCATCCTCTGTGCATATTCTTTGTATTCTTGAGGAGATTCTAGGTGAGATTCTTCTTTCTACTTAAGAACATACAGCTATGACAATTAATAAATTTCGCTCTCTAAGTGGACTTGATGTAAATAGGTCTCTGAAGTGAATTATTGTCTTTTCTTTGAAGTTGAACGTCAAGAAAGTGGAATTTCAAGTTTTATTCATCTAGAGTGAATTTGATTAAGGGATGAGCACTACTGAAGTTTTGAAGGAGGTTTTTGAGATCCGCATTTTCGTCACAAATAATAAAGGTATCATGTATGTTTCTTTTGTGAAAATGAAGCTTTCTGATTATTTTCGATAATGTTATGTCTTCCAGATTTGCCATAAAGCAGTCAGGTAGGAAGGGCGATCCCATTACCAAGTTATCTGTCTGTAGATTTTGTTGTTAAATCTGAAGGGTAAGTTGAAAGTACATCTGAGAAGTTCCTTTAGATAGTGATTTAGAATACGAATGTTTAATTTTTGTGGATGAACTAATCTATATAGGAAACAAATATTTTCCGTTAATGGGACATTTGTAAATAGGGAAATGACATCCAGAGAAACCATTCTCTTCCCTGACAGATTGACACTCCTGATTAAACTAACAAAGTGAAATATGTCACGCAAGCTACTTTTCAAAATTTAATTATTCACTGAATCCAGTATCTTGACGAGCTATTTCACAGCTGAATGGTAAGGAGAATTGGTCATGTTTGGTATCCGAGGTAGGGGAACATATTCTTTGTGCACTTTGGGTCGACCATATAGTCGAGGGATCGAGGAACCTGATAGATGGAGTTGTTCGTAGAGTTCAGTGGTGATGGATTCAGTGAAACGTGGCCTGAGTGACACATTTTACTTTGTTGATTTAATCAGGAATATCAGTCTGACGTGAGATGCGTAACACAATTAGCTACGAAATCACGGTAATTAAAATAGACAAACGTAAAGTTAATTTCATTGTAAACAAACTAATACAGCTACTTTTAGTAGTTTTTATATAATATGTATGAATTGTTGGAAAGAAACTGGTTTACATGTCAAATAGTGGCTGGTGACTAATTAAATGAATAGATTAATCGGTCTACTTATAACATGAACCATCTTGCAAAAAACCTGTCATTCAATACACACCTCTGAAGATGTAACAAATTTTATTTTGAGGAAGTTTAAAATTTTATCATACTACTTTTATTTATTTAACTTATTATTTACCTTAGCTGGTTTAGTCTTACGTCTTTTGATAAGTGTTTCTAATAATATGGAATGTGTTTTCCCTTTCTGTTTATAGTCTGTTATGCAAACTCAAGAAAAAATCAAGGTAGATGAAGCTAAATGTTTACATATGGCTGAATTGGCTCAAGCTGATTTAGCACAAGCTATGCCAGCTCTAGAAGCAGCTGTACAAGCATTGGAATCATTAAATAAAAAGGATATTACAGAAATTAAATCCTATGGAAAGCCACCTCTTCTAGTACAAAAGGTTTGCATCATTTTCCTTCAGTTGATTGTAATCTGATTCGAATTAAACTATCTGAATTTCGCTCTATAAACGTTTGATATTAGCAAAACGTAAGCGTGGGAATAATGAATAATCATCATTCCGAGTATCTGAGATAGCCGTGGTTTGACAGACTTGCGTAGACACTCAATGATGATTGAAGGTGAATGTGGTCTGTACTTTGAATCTAGCTGTGGCCTAAATTTTCATTCCACCTTCAATCATCACCCATTATCAATCTGAGTCCGCTAAACCATGGTTATCTTAGATAGTTAAAATGATAATCAATAGGATGCTCCCCCCATCTTTATAATTCAAACAGATTTAGACTGGGATAAAAAGTCTTGACTGGGCGGCCAATATGAGTAGGATCATGCGATAGTAAGACGTCACGAATTCATATGACAGTGGAGCGAAATCCGTTGATGATTGAAATGAAATAAAAACCTGGTTAGCAGTCAGGTCTCATAGCTCAGCTGGTAGAGCAGCGGGCCGTAAACCCGGTGGATCCTGGTAATTAATTATTAAATAGGTCCTAGAATGTGATGAACAATATGACTTTGCATCTTGACAACTAGTCCTGTTTTTTTAACACGAATGTAAATCTAATTTGTGAAATAAACAGTAAATGTAATCACATTCTCAAAGTATCTGACTGAATGTGCATACAAAAATACGTCAGCCACAGAGTAGATTCTTGTGAAGTGTTTACCCGAGACCTAGTAATCATATTAATCGCTAATTATTAGTTTGGTGAATTGTAAATATCTCCCATCATTTTTTTCCTCAAGCCGAATGTAATTTCAGTTTATTTAGAACATATGTCGAAATTTTCAACAAAAATTACTTCATTAATACAAGAGTAATACTTTGGTACTGTGGTGGATTGTAACTCCATTTTAGTCTGTTTATTAGAAATGTCCCACGGGTGAGTCAAAATCGTTTAATTTAATGCTGAAAACTAATAATCCCAGTAGAATGTATGATACTATTAAGATTCATAAGCCAGGTTATCCCATCAGATTTATGGTAGATTAAAGAAATAATCCGACTTACAAGTTGTCTAAATATTTAGTAATGGTGAGTGTTAGGGCCAATAAGAGATTAATAAAAACCTCGACTGACTATCTCTTATGACCTAAAACATAGATTAGGTGATAAACGAGTCGACAACACTGAGAAAATAGTTGGTTTTGACATATCTAGCCTTCACATGCATACACCGATCGATATGGCTCTAGAGGCAGTTAGAAATGGGCTTAAGGGTAACAATGAGCTTACGCATCGAACTAAGGTGCCGATCGACGAAATTATGCTAGTAGTACGATTGTGCCTGACATCTACAGCTTTTAAGTTTCAAAATAAAATATCTAAACAAATTGAAGGGGTTGACTTGAGATCACTAACATCAGACAGATATATTTATGGATAGTTGGGAAAGGATGGCCCTACAGGCATTTAGTCCTATTCCAAAGATATGTAGATGGTAAATTTGCAGCACTGAAATCGGAACACATCAGTAGGTTATTGGCACATGTAAATTCAATGGTGAATGCAGTCCAACTTACCTTTAACTTAGAGAGTGATGAGGGTAAGCTAGCAATGTTGGATTGCAAGATTAAACGAAAACAGGATGGAAGTTTAGAGACTAGTGTCCATAAGAAACCTACCCATTCTAATCGCTCTTTCAAACTATCTCACGCCATCCCAGTTAAAGTAGGCTTAGTTAAATGTCTAAGTAATAGGGCGACAAAGCTTACTAGTAGACCAGAAAATCCACATTGAGAATACCTTGCTTCTCAATAATTATCCACCAAAATTTATAAGTAAATTCTTAAGAAATCGAAAGAAAAATATCAGCAGTATTAGTAGTAACACCGGTGTTATTGATAATAATTCTACTACTAATAGTGATAATGGTGACAGGGTTGAGAGAGAATTCAAAGCCTCTGCTATGTTACCGTACAAGGAGGGGATCTTAAAAGCATTACGAAAAATTCTCAATAAGGCTGGAATTAAAGTGGCAACTTAACCAAAAAACTCGATTAAAAACAAGCTTTATAAATTAAAAGATCCTATTGATGCAATTCAGCATAATAATTTGGTTTACGAAATCCTTTGTCGTGAATGCGAGGTAAAATGCATACGTCAAAGTAGTCGACCAGGATCGATTAGAATTACAGAGCACAAATACTTAGCTGAATCAAGATTAATAGATTCTGATATGAAAGTAAGAAAAAAGCTCAGCTATGGGTATACACTCAGTTACATACAACCATATAGTAGGGTGGGATAGAGCAACGGTATTAAAACTAACTTCGCTGGGTAGAGGGAGAGATTGGCGACCGAATATTTGTTTATCGAATCAACACCTAATACATGCAGTAATAGGAATGATTCTGAACGTGTCCCAGATATATGGAAAAAATTCTGCTACCCTTGTTGTCACAATGAAGGAAAGGAAATTAGGACTATATCAAAGATGTCTCAAAGTTGCGGAATTACGCGATATGAATACGGACAATAAACTGCATCTGAAACGTTACCCAGTGAATGATACTGTTTCACTGTGTGGCATTTCTAATAAACAGACTGAAATGGAGAAAGTACTTCGATCGAAAATTCGGCCGAAGATGTAGTCTCTTGAAGTATATCTGACTAAGGGAATATCATTTCATCCAGATATACTACAGAAACACGAGAAAGCGCATCCTGGTAGAAAATTAGTTACATTTTGTCATTTAGAATACCTAACAGCTCTACCTCGCCATGGTAACTAGTTCACTAGTTACTAGCACTCCCTGAGCCCAGATAAAAAGGGAAGGTTGGGCATAGGGCTAGCAACCCTACACCATTAAATCAATCCAACCACTCAACAAACTTCAAAGCACAAAGAAACTATAAAAAACGAAAATAAACTTATTCCTCGCTGGAATCAGGGAGGAGAAACCACACCAGTTGGTGAAAGACTTCAGTGAGCAAATTGGCCAATGTGTCTCCTCTTCCCTCGATGAAAGCGAAAGTAAGAATAGGGATATGGAATGTCCGCACCATGTATGATCCTAGCGCAGTTGCCCAGATTCCAAAAGAGATGAGAAGGCAAAGCATAGAAGTCCTAGAGATCTGCGAGGAATCTGCAGATGCAATGGAAATAGACTCTCCAAACTGTCAACTGGAGAGGAGTCAATAATCTACTCCAATACTGTCACCCAGACGACAACCACGAGCACACTGAGTTTTCGAGTGGCCATCATGACATCCCCAATGAGCATCGACAGCTGTCATGCAGTGGGAAACAATCTCTCCCAGCAAGATCAGGGTCATGACAGCATGATTCAACTCGAAAGGAAGGAAAGTCACAACCATACAATGCTACGCAACACACCTACAAATAATGCAGACGCAGAACAAGAGAGGAAGGAGGAACTCTACAGACAACTGCAATCAGCACTGGACAAGACTCTATCCTAGGTGGCGACATCAAAATTCTAATGGGTGGGGTGACATGAATGCCAAATTGGGAGGGGACAACACAGGAAGAGAACTAACCATGGGTAGAGAAGCACTCAGTGAAATGACGAGTGAGAATGGAGGACTGTTTGCAGACTTCTGCACATTTAATGATTTGGTGATTGGAGGTAGTGTGTACAAACACGAGGATATTCTCAAGGCAGGGAGGGACATGGATTTGATTTTGTCAAATGGATACACTAGAAATCAGATCGACTTCATCTCAATCTGAAATAAGAGGAGATGCAGCCTACTGGACACAGGATCAGATCAGATCAGATCATATCAGATGAAGAAGGAGAGCAGATGTAGGTTCACATCACTCACCATCTAGTACAAGAAACATAACCACCTTCAAAATCAAGTTGAAAGCCTTCACACAAGTTGGTGATGATAGACCACAGTTGAAGTTGAACACCGAGAACAATAACTGAAGGACGAAACTACAAAGGACATCTTCACATCAGTCATCAAGACAAAATGGGTGACACTAAACAACATCCATTAAGGAACCTGAGTGGATGAACACTGGAACTCTTTGAAAGAGACGTGGAAGGAAATCTGCATTACTGTGTTGGGAAGGAAGAGGAAGCAAGACAAGGAAAGGATCGACACAGATACAATGGATGTGATAGAGGAGGGATAGGAAGGTGGTGAAGCAGAAGATGAACCAGTCCAGTGCAGTGCAGTGCAGTGCAGGGATGAACAAAGAAAAGAGGAACTAAGCAAAACCTATAAAACACCACACTGGACAAAGAAGTGAAGAAGAGTGCAGAGAAAGACAAGAGACACTTCTACGACACACTGGCAAGTGAAGGAGAACAGAATGCAGGTAGGCGAGATAGAGACCTGACAACACTATATCAAATAACCAGATTACTATCTGGGAGGGAAGAGATCAACGTGGACGAAGCCAATGAAAGATAGTGAATGAAACCTAGCTAACGCCGAAGAGGAGAAGCAAAGGAAACGATGGGATGACCACTTCAGAAAATTCTTGAATCGACTACTACCACCACCACCACCACCACCTGCAACTAGTCCAGAAATACCACCTGCAGCCCAGCCACAGAACTGCCAGTGAATCCAGGCCCTCCGGTAAAGCCGAAGTCTTGAAACTCATAAAGCTGCTGAAATGCGGGAAAGCAGCATGACCAGATGGAATCCTGTCAGAGGCACTGAGAACAGACTCAGAGACAACAGCGGACATGCTCACACCACTATTGCAGAAGGTTTAGTATGAAGGAAGGAAGGAAGGAAGGAGGGAAGGAAAGGTACCTTCCCATTGATTGGAAGAAGGGCTACCTTGTCAAACTCCCAAAGAAGGGTGACTTTAGTGTTTGCAAGAACTGGCACGGAATCATGCTCCTGTCCACTTCAAGAAAAATATCAAGCCGGATTATCCTGGAGTGACTAAAAGATGAGCTGGATTCAAAATTACGACCGGAATTGGCTGGCTGGCTGGCCGGCTTTAGGGATTAGAAATTATGTGCTGATCAGATTGTAACGCTACAATACGCATCATCATAGAACAGAGCATAGAATGGCAGTCCACTGTACCTTTACCTCAACTTCATCGACTTTGAAAAGGCCTTCGACAGCGTCGACCGAGAATTAATTTGGCAGGCAGCTGCTTGAACACTACGGTTTTAGTGGTACAAACCTTTATTAACCTCATTTAACGACAGCTATATGCTATATGATGCTACATGCCATGTGCATTACAATGGAAAACTCAGTGATGCCCTTAAAGTTAAGACAGAAAGGAGTAATACAAGGTTGCTGCCTACTATCACCAATTTTCTTCCTGATTGTGCTCGACTGGACTGCACTGGAGCATGCAACAAAGTGTGAGGAGTGAGAAGATGGGTATACGTTGTTTGACCGATAAAAAGACCCCAGAAGAAGATTTCGATTTCGCCGATGTCTAGTGTCTTGTCGCACAAACTTGGAGATGTACATGTGGATGCTAACAATTTGCAAAGAGGTAGAGAAGACGTGACTTTCTTCAGGCGAACATGGAGAAGCCAGAGGTGATGAAAATATTAAACCAACAACAAGCACGAATCACCATCAACAGGAGAAACCGAAAGGAATTTGTTTCGTTCACCTATCTAGTCGGGCAGAATCGTCTCAGCTACAGGTGGTGGCGCCACAGATGAGGGCGTCAAAGACAGTATCGGAAAAGTAAGACAGGTCTTCATTAATCTGAAGCCAGTGTGATGATCTACTGCACTCATCATAAAGCTTGAACAAGATCAGGATTTTCAACGCCCACGTCAAGTCAGTGCTTCTATGTGATGGTTCAGAAACTTGGCGCGTCACGAAAAGCGTTTCCAACAAACTACAGACATCATACATCAACAACTGCCATCTACGCCCACTCGATACTGAAGATCAGATCAGATGGCCAGAATAATAAAACTAAGCAACAAGCAACTCACTCTTGAGGGCAACGAAGCAACCAAGAACCTATCGCCCACCAAATATGCAGAAGAAAGTGTAGATGGATTGGGCATACAATGGGAAGAGCGTTCGGGGACATCATGCGCCTGGCCAGGCTGTGGAGTGGGACCTGTGTGGGAAACGATGAGTTGGGCGTCCCAGTTGAGGGTGACATGGAGGAGATGGTGTGAGGAAGAATTAAAAGGTTGTGGTCAGTCGTGGAGTCAGGTTGAAAAGACTGGATAAAAGAGAGTGAAATGGAGACGTGCAACTGAAGCCCTATGTTGCACAAGGATCCCAAAGGACAAATAATAATAATAAGAAAACAGCTCAGTTTCAAAAGTAGCTGTTTTTTCAACTCTCTCACCTTGTTCATCACTTTAAATATGTAGACAGATATAAAATGTACGATAAGTATATACACAGATTTCTACCTTAATTTACTACAAAGCTTCCATAAATCTTGTATTCCTAAAGAAGTTTCATTAATGCGAGGCATTTGTGCTAATTCAAAAGTACAACAAAATGTAGTAATCGGTAGAATGATATACCCGTCATTTAAACGGATAGTTATACATTTGTTTTCAGTAGAGAACGTGACACATATCTAAGCTTTTTAAAACCAGGACGGTATACAATCAGTCTCATGCTGTGGTGCAACCACTCATGTGCTTTCACTCCGGTGGACCAAAGTATTCAGTATATTTATCTCGATGATTTTCAGGCAAAATAGAATGAATTAACTTGATTTTCACTAGCAAGCAACCTAATATCAGTGTTCAATGAAGTTCATCTGCAAGTATTTACAACATATTGTATTCAAACAGCTTTAATGAAATTAACGTGTCAATCTTTAACTATTACGTCAACATATGGTGTTTTAACAGAACGTTTACACTTGTGTCTTTTTCCTCGTTTCCGTTTACCTAGTGTGATATTGCTACTTTTATTTATTCAATGTTGTATCCTTAATTAATTGGCCAAGTCTCGAGACTGAAACTAATTTATTTTGCAATGACTATCTTTTCTTTATTGCAAGTTCCGAATATTTTTGGTAAAAAAGCTATTCATTCGGTGCTATGTAAATACTCAAGCGTCATGTTCTTTCTACTTTGATCGGTTTGATATGTATACTACTGGGAACTACTTAAGAATTAATAGATAGCATGGAAGTAAGTATAACTCTATAACCGTTGACCAAAACGGTATGGTAAGGTTCAAGGTTCAATGAAGAGCAGGCAACCATATAGAGTCATGGGAAGCCAGGTTGACCGATGCAGAAACCGAATCCACAAAATGTTAGTTGATCGATGATCTCAGTCTCCTGACTTGTGAATATTAGTCAACTGGCTATGAATACAGCATTTAGCTAATTTAGTAGAGTAACCCATTGGCGACAGTTAGTTATGTAAGTTGTCATCATTTATATCATGTATTTAACATTCCAGGTGACTGAGTTATCATAGTGACCACACTCGCACGCGTTACAACTTACCTTTTTATACATTGACCATCATCTTTACCTCCCGCTCGTACAAAATGTTTGTAGTCTGGCCGAATTTAATTTTGTGGCCTTCATTTTTTTTACATTTTATGCACTCAGTGGTTTCTTTCAAAAATATCAGCCTTCATAAATCATCTGTCTAGAGTTCTTTGATGGTATAATTTGTGAACTTTTGTTCTTGATTGGATCGAATTGATAGGCCGCTATTGGATTCCTGTGCGGATGCCACAAATCATAACGTCAAATGATGTACTATGTCCATTGTATGAGGAATAAGCATCTTGACTTAATGGCCTTGTGAATACCGCTGTGGCATTTGAGGCCGTCGGTGCTGGGTTCAAGTCCTAGAGGGAATAAAACCAGTGTCTGAAATGGAGGAACACCCAGCTGATGAGTCCCAAATGAGACAAAATGCGCGGTGTAAATTCCACTGCTAACCACCATCTATCAGTAATGTCTAGAGTTTGCTTTTGTTCTATATCGTGATGTTAAGTTTCACGTTATATAGGCGTGTAGTGAGAAACAGTAAGACAGGATGAATTCCTTTTGTATTTGTTTAGATGTTTTTGTATAGCTCTTACACTTAAAATGATTCTTGAAATCTTGATTATATTTTTCCCATGACTGTTTTTCTACATACCGTAAATGTAGGTCATGGAAGCTGTCATGATTCTTCGAGGAGTGGACCCAAGTTGGGCTGAATCGAAACGACAGCTAGGTGAACAAGATTTCATTAAACAGTTGATAAACTTTGACAAAGATAATATCGGTGATAAAACATTGAAGAAAATTGGCCAATACTGTGCTCAAGACGATTTTCATCCTGATGTAGTCGGTAAAGTATGTGTTTCAGGAATATAATTAATTTTTGATTAGTAATTGGGGTATCTGTGAGCAAATTTTTCGATAGGTGTAAGAAGGATTGTTCAAAACTTCTACGCTGGGAATTTATTCAAATTGTTCACCAATGAAATGAAATTGTGAGCTAGTGAGAGACCTGACCTTCAGATTTAAAAAACAGGTCTGACGTTAGCTTAGTAACTAGATAGCTATTGGTTTTAATCATATGGTAACCTTAAAACTCAGTTTTTGAGATTTTGTGTGGATCTGTTTATTGTTTTCAGGTAGGTATTCATCACTGGCACGCACTGCTGAGGAATCCCAGACTAGGGTGAAACAACTATCCAGTGCTCCCAGGTTCCCAATGATTCTTCAAATGATATCAGTCCGTGATGAGTACCAACCGGAAATCAATCAGTAAATCCCTTTGAAATCTCAAAAATTAAATTACTCTAGTGCCTATTAGTGACTTGCTGCGAGATGAGATTCCCGAAGTTGTAATAAGTAGTCAAGACCAGTGGGGCCAACTAACTCGGACGTGAAGATAGTTACTCAGTGATGGCACTGGATGGAGGTTGCACTCTATCGTGAACTAACAGAAGTAGGAAATGTGGACGTTTGGATTCCGACCAAGAGGCTTAATGGTAACATGCTGACCGGGGAACCTGAAGGCTTTGGATTTGACCCCTGGCAGGGTCATTGGTGTGCACTATCGAGGATTCCCATACTGGGATGAAACAGCCGTCCAGTGCTCCCAGGTTTCTAGTGGTGTCGGTCTATGATGAATACCAACCTGAAGTCTTAAAAACTTTCTATCATTGCTCCATATGGTGAACTGTATGGAAAAAATTGTACAGGTGAGAAAAAATATTTATGGGAAAAAAATTATGGGATTGCTCATGCACTAGTTGAATAACTCTGTAAGGGCATAATCAGATAAGCCAGTTCTCTTGTGATTCATTAAGATTCGGTTGAATCGAACTAATATTTAAATAAAATTAAAAAAGATAAACATTAGTAGATACACTTGTTTCCGGTGATACTATTCTCTAACACTGTACGATAATATTTAAATAACTGACTAATGCATGTGTCCAGTAGTGAACACCTATGCAAAAGAAAAACTACCACTACTGACTGCTGCGTTGTCTACATATGAGTTCACCTATTCCTGTAGATTTAGGCATATAGACCATATGCAGAAGCAGATTATTCAACGTCCACATGAACATCTTCCGAAATGATCCAGTAAGGAGAATTTAGATCGATCAAATGTTACATCTTATCATATTCATTCCACAGTGAATAAACAATTTCAGAAGACCCACTTCGTTTAACTAAATAGAATTCATTTATTAACATTGTAAACTCATAACCCTAACTCTTCATATTATACATTAGATTGTTTATTGAATATGGCGCACAGAATTTATTGCTCATATTCATACCACACAACCTTCAAACTTCTAACAGTTCATTGATTTGTTTCATTAAGGGTAGGAAATTTTTTGGATATCTGATGAGTCATTCCAGTTACAAATATTATATGCATTTTTGAGATGAATGGGGATTTTTAATTTACAAGTAGCATTCATCATGGACTGACATCAGTTGGGAAACCATTGGAAATCTGAGTGCACTGGACAGCTGTTTCATCCTAGTATGGGACTCCTCAGCAGTACGCACTCATGACCCGGCTAGGGATCGAACTCAGGACCTTCAAAGACTGTAAGGACAGCAACGAGACGAGACAAAAACACTCCATAAATAATGATTGAATTTTGGTTACAACACTTTGGACGGTATCGTTGCTCACGAAAATAAAGCAACTCCTCGTCAGTTTGCTCCGCTTTAAAATACTTTTCGATTTCATGTAACCAATAACATGGGACGTTTCCTCGTCCATTTTGATTGGACAACAAGTGATACAGGGAGTGAGGGAGAAGGAGTAGAAAATAAAAATTATTGCCGTTGGCCAAATATATTTCAATAAGTTTAGTGCTGATTCAATGAACAATGGTTCTGTGATAAATCTGTGCCCCACCTATCTAAACTGGATTTTAGAATTACCACTCCAACCCCCCCCCCCCTCCCACTATAGGTCAGTGCACGCAGAGTGATAGTCGAGTTTTTCTCTTAACTACTTCTCTTAGTAGGGTATACCACCATTGTATTTCGTCAAATTTTAGTGCTCTGCTATACTGAGTAACACCAATCGGCTGCTTTGACCTATAACCTGACCTCTCAGTCTTTGCATGGTATCTGACGGACTACGTTATTTTTCCCAACTGGCTCTACTCGATCTTTTAGCTTACAACATCTCTCTGGAGGGAGTTTGTGGGTTTAAATGCCACCCTAATCCCAGCAAAATTTTCGGTGAGCCCTCTATATGCGTCAAACCTACACAGTACTTGAATTCCCTCTTGCCACTCCTTCCCTGAGCAGTTCTTACAAACTTTTAAAGCATTCCGGAGGGTAGGTACTAAGAGGTAGTGTCTCTCTGATGTATTTCAGCTCCTTATTTAGGTTTCCTGACTTACTAGTCAAACTGCTAGCCTGATTACTCAGACATTTTACGCAACCTCCCTTGACAAATAAAGAGTGAGATGATATGAAAACCAGGTATCTATTCGAGTTTCTTTGTGTTTCCTACAAACACTAGTATTTAAGCTTCCATCTTCTATCCTTTTGATTTCGCATTCCAATATAAGTAATTCTCCTTCATTTTCTAATTCATAAGTGAATTGGATTGCATCTACTATCGAGTTAATGTAAGCGAAAAAACTTTGGATATGTTTTAATTTCAACACAAGAAATGTGTCATCTGAATGTCACCACAATCAACAAGTGATTTGAACAATAAATTCTAATCGAAACGTCATCCAATAAATGATACTACATCACTGTGTGCTATACATCAAATGAACAACCCAATATGGAATTATACGCTACCACAGTGTTCAATGTTTACTCTTACATTAATTTTTCTCTTCTTTTGTATTTCGAATAACTAATTGACAAATATTGAAACTTTTCACCGTGAAATATACACACTAATTTATCATATAAGTATGATTGAACAGCTTCGGGAAATGAAATTGCTAAAAACAAATATGGCCGCTGAAGCATTTCTTCTTCTACAACTCAACAGGATTATTCAAGACTGTTAAAACATAAAGCTTAAATCCGACAAACAATTTTGGCTAAGGGTATACTATTCATTTATCAGTTGTACGAGGTCGCCAGACAGTTTAGAGCTCTATAACGTTTTCCCTAAATTTGATTGAGACAGGCATAATGTCACTTTTTATTCGTTTGCATTTCCAAACAAGGTCATTTAATATGTAAAACAATTCATATAGTCTCAATGTTATAGCTTGTGAGTTTCTGTCGGTGACTGGGCCAAACTTATTGCATACGGAGTGGCAATAACAATTTTGGACTGGTAAATTTCTGATTTTGTAGCATCTGGCGAAAGTGGTGAGCCGCCGGTAACTGTCTATAAGCATGTACAAGGTATTCTGCTTTTATATCGATGATCACTTCTAGACAGTAATGCACATCTATTAACTACTCATAATAAAATCATATCTACTTCTATGGCGCACGGAGAAGCACATAAGAATATACAGAATTGTCATTAGAAGATGAACGCTGTTCACTGAGATGAAGGAGAAACTGTAAAATGCAGAAATGCTTGCGAAACTTAATGATACTAATGTTTACGAAACGCTTATATGAGCTACTTAGTATCCCTGGTAGGGAGAGCCATAGGTTCGCACTCCTGATGAGTCCCAAGCCAGGACATAACAGCTGTCCATTACTCCCAGGTTTCCAATGTTTCTCCAACTGATATCAGTATATGATGACTACAAACCTGAAATCAATGAGTAAGATCAGCTGGATTGTTTTGTGATATAATTTTTTACTCATACTACACAATAATGTCAATTATAATAACTGATGCGGTCAGTTTGAATATAGGTGAGATATTTGATAAGGTTGCCACTTAAAGGTTACTCACGCAGACAACCTGACGTAGAAATGCATCATTGTAAATTGTTACGCCTCACAGCAAGATGGGAAGAAGAAAAGCATCAAAGAAAATTGACTTCAAAGTCCAAAAAAGTATGTAAATTGAATGGAAACTAAGATGCGGTCAAATCCTGCCGTGACCCAAATTTTCATTTCACCTTCGATCATCACCCAGTATCAATACAAATCTGCCAAACCATGGCTATCTCAGATAGTCAAACTGATAAAAACATATGTGACAGTAGGAGGAGGAAATAAATAGAGATTGGTAGAAGTCCTCGAGATTTCTAAGCGGGCAAACACGGGATATATGTGTGCCCTACCGTGAACGACTTTAAATCAAATCACCGAGAATCTCCAACCTATCATCTTGAGAAATCTAAACTGGCAGTATACACTTCCCTACATGGTTCAAACCAACAGTTAAAGACTTCGTGGAATGATGTCCATATTCTTTGCATAACCATTTGAAAGGCTGAGTAATTAGACTTGTTGCTATAGTATAGTTATAATTCCATATAACTATCACATTCTCTTATTAAAACGCCAATATAAACTCCAGGATTTAATTTTTCACATTTACTATAAACTATTTTCGCTCGATTGTATTTGAGGTCAATGTCAGAAGTGAAGAAATGAACAGTTATGGGCAAACCTTTCAAAATGATTTATTTTATCAGATTCTAAATCACCATAATGTAAAGAACTTTCAAGACTACGAATAACATGTCAGAAATCTTCACAGCAAACCATTGATTTACTAAGCAAACTTTTCCGACTATTTCGATCAATCTGTTATATACTTCCCTACAAATAAAGATGCTTTTCGCGCAAATCCAATAGCAATTTGCAAATGAGATTGTCGATAACTAGATTGTCAAGAAGGAGAATGTTTACCAATGTAATTTATTGTAAAGTTTACTATTTTTCACACTACTCAGTAGCGATTTTCGAATAAATAATCTCTATTGCTTCACTGAACTTCTCTTATTGCTCCTGCCATTGTTGAAGAGAAGTCTAGTGAGATAGCAGAGACTGCCTATTGAGAAGTTACAATAGATGGTGTTTAAAATATTGATCCTTTTAATAAAGTCAAATTCGCCTTTTTGAAATTCCAATGTCCAGTGATCTTGCACTCCTTATCTACACTCGATATTCTACCTTTATCTCCTCCAGAATCTTCAACAGGCTCTCAATATCACTCCTTTTGTTTCTGGATGTAACTGTATATACTACTGGTATACATTCTTATAAGTAGTGTTCATTGCAGACTGTCTACTACTAAACATGGGGGAAATTTAAAATGTGAACATGAAAAATAAAATCTGAAGCACACTTTGTGAAATAAAAATTTACACCAGCTTTCATTTGGACAGATTTTATCAAACTAAACATGAAATCTGACATTGAAATATACTACTGCTGACCAACCTAAGTAGTTAGAAACCACTCAAGCTGATCTGTTGAGCAGTTGAAAAACCACTCAGTTGTGTGAAATGTCAACTTAAACCATGTGGTTAATCAACCGCTTGCAAAATAAAATCTGACATTATTTTCTTCATTACACTAAATTATTCATTACTGATGAACTCATTGATTTTGTGTAAATTTAACAGGTTTCAAGTGCGGCTAAATCATTATGCATGTGGGTACGAGCAATGGATGTTTACGGTCGTGTTTACAGAATCGTTGAACCAAAACGCCAAAGACTACAACAAGCTGAAGAAGTTCTACGCGAGAAGCGAGCACAACTAGCAGCTGCTCAAGCTAAACTTGACGAAGTGAATGCTGAAATGCGTCGACTTCAACAAGAGTATAATGAAAAGGTATCCTGGTTCAATCAATTCATTGAACTGATCTCGATATCTTAAAGTATACTTAACTTAAAATAAATGAATTCTGCTAACAGAATTTTAATATTACCTTGTGATCTAGAATTTATCTGACATTAAAACTGCACACCTTATTTAAAAATAATTAAGGACACAGTTTGTCTTTAGTAGTCATTTCACAATAACCAGAAACTTTTGGACCTTGTTTTTATCATTTTGTTACAATGGCTACTTTTTGTTGATACATTGATTAGATAGTAACCCATGATCTTTTGAACTATTCAAACAAACATTTGGGTCCACGAAGACATACAAGCCTCACAAAAAATTGGTTTCTATCATTTCAAATCTGATTTTCTCCTAAGACAACAGTTTTGGATGTTTTCAAAATGACTCATATGAGAGAGTGAATATAATATCTTCAGGATATTCAGAAGGCTCGTTGACATCCATATTCTTGAGTTGATTTTAACTTTACCAAAAAATGTAACTCTTATAGGTTACTGCCGCAAAGTATTTTGTCCTTAATCATCATGAATAAATTCCTCTTCATGTGTGTTTATAAACAACAACACCGGTAACACAGTTCAAGCAAGTCATATGTCTTGTTTGTGATAATCAGTGTTCAAACAGAAACCATAAGATTTTCAAATTTTTGCGTACTACTGACGTGGAACAACAGTGTAGATAACTGGAGTTTCATTATAGATCCAAGCTGCATAGATAAGCATCTGGTTCGCGACAGATGTCTTAAGGATGTTTTGAATTAGTTCTAACAGTATAAGAGTAAAACTTGGGCACTGTGGTCGATCGCAATTCCATTTTAGTCTGTTTATTAGAAATATCACACAGTAAATGCTACTGTTTCATCGTGTGATATTTCTAATAAACAGACTAAAATAGTTCTGAGAGTGTTTATGTAACATTATCCAAGACCGACGATAATAAATAAAATACTTTCATCTTATATTTCCCTTTGAAACTGAAACATTTTAATCAGTATTGTAGTTCACTTGGTGGCTTGCAGTGAAATCCATGACGCGAGTTTCGTCCTGACCAGGATTCTTCAGCTGGGTGTTCCTACATCCCACTGAGACTCAAACCCAAAACCCGTCGTTTTAAATGCCAAAGCGTTATCCACTAGACTACCATATAATGAAGATACAGGCAGTGTCGAGGCGTCCGCATAGGAGCCAATCTGCCAATTCAGATCGAGCAACTCCACCCAGTATAGCGACAGGAAACTACAAGTATCAATAAACAACAAGTGACATCCGTTGCACATATGGTGTCTATTGTGCCATGGTGGCATAGCGGATGGCACTCTGGCATTTAAAGCGATGAGTACTAAATTCGAGTCTCAGTGGAAACAACATCACTCGCTGGGTGGCAGGTACATCCAGCTGAGGAGTTCCAAAAAGGAAGAAATGTGAAGGCGTACAACAATACAATGAATATCCAGGCAGTTTCTAGGTGTCCGCATAGCAACGCAAATGCCAACAGAGGTCCAGGATACATACCTAGTATAGCAACGGGAAATTGCCAGTATCAACAAATAACATCTTGACCAGTCTTGCTTATCTGTTCTCTATACTGTTTTACTCTTATTTTGGGTTTTCTAACGTCGCTTTCTGATTTTCTGTGTATCCTACTATCTAGTTTTGTAATTTAAATGAAGGTACTTTTCTGAGAGGCTCTGAAATATCCTAAGTATTTTGATATCTTTAAACTCCCATGCAAGCTTTTGATTAAAAATCGTCTTTATTCTAGTTATTTGTCAGCGAGTTTGAAAAAAAGAACTCAGTTGATGAGTTGAAAGAATTTATTGTAATTTTTAGCTGAAACTTTTCTCTTTTGAAAAGGAATGTATATTGTCTCATTTGGGATTTGTATTTCCCCATCTGAAGTATATCTCTCATGTATAACCACTTCAACAAACCAAAATCAAATAATAATAGTATCTCAAAGCTCTAATGAGAAGTCGTGACCTGTGGGATCAATCGGTCGGAAGTGAAGTGAATTCTGACTGAAGATCTTGGGTGATAGTAGCGCTATATCGCGAATCGACAGAAGTTGAAAGCTGTGAATTACTGAACTCCAACTCACTGGCTGAATGGTTAATGCGTTTGCCGTGAGACCTGGAGGTGCTGAGTTCGATCCTTATGCGAGTACTGGATGTGTACTGCTGAAGAGTCCCATACTAGGACAAAACAGTTGTCCAGTGCTTCCAGGTTCTGAATGGTTTCCTAACTGATGTCAGTCCGTGATGAATACCACCTCTAAATTAAAATCCCTATTGTTCTCAAAATATATTATCTTAATTCATTAAGTATAAACTGAAAACTGTACATTGCACAAAATACCTTAAAACTTTTTCTCCATTTAACTTTGTTTTTCTAGATGGAACAGAAAGAGGAACTACGTAGAAAGGCCGAACATACAGAGAAAATGTTAGATAGAGCTAGTAAACTGGTTAGTGGTTTAGCTGGTGAAAAAATAAGATGGGAAGCAAGTGTTGCCGACTTACTACAACGTATTGAACTACTACCTGGTGATTGTTTATTAGCTGCAGCCTTCTTATCATATATGGGTCCATTTTTAAGTGAATATCGTGAGAAATTAGTGAAAAATTGGTTAGGATTAATTAGAAGTGAAAATGTGCCTGTTACAGATCCATTTGTGTTTACAGAATTTTTAGCTGATCCAACTCAAGTAAGTCAGTTCGGATATTACGATTGTTGATATTATTATTACTGTTGTTCATGATGCTACGCTTATTTCTAGATCAGAAAGTAATAAATACTTGATTTTCTTTTCTTTCTGAAGAAAAAAAGTTGAAGATGCGGCTTATCGCTTTAGGAAGTTGACTTTCAACTAGTGGGTCATAAGTTTGAACGCTGCTCCACCTACCGATGTTTGGGCAGCCAGGTAGCAACATTAGTCCTTATGCACTAGATGTGGCTCACTGCCTACCACGCGAATGTACATCAGGTAGTTGAGTGGATTTCCATGTTTCGAAAGACTTTCCTAATGTGAATGAAGACAAGAATACAAGTGAATTATTATTCTCCTATTTACTACTTTAATTTAACCATTAGACTGTGTTGTGGTAATTTACTTGGTTGTGGCTAGCAGAGGAATCCAAACCACGCGTTTTGTCCTATAAGGGTCTCGTAAATTACCATAATAAATATTCAGGTAATATCGAGACGTCCACGTAAGAGTCCATGTGCTAACAGAGGTCGAACAATTCAGTCCTGTGTGAAAACGGAGAATCACAAGTATATTAACATTTGACTGTATATTAATTAGATAATTAGGTGTGGAGGATATGTATTATTGTTATTATTTGTCCCTTGGGTTCCTAGTGAAACATAGGACTTCAGTAGCACGTCTCCATTTCACTCTCTTCTCTGCAGTCTTTTCAACTGCCCACAAGCTTTCATTTCTTCCTCACATGATATCCTCCATGTCACCCTGAGCTAGAACGCCCAACTCGTCGTTTCCCATTTGGATTCCATTCGATGACCTGGCCTGGTGCGTGATGTCCCCAATCGGTCTTAGTTTATGACCAATCCAACCCATCTCCACTTTCTCCTGCTTATTTGTTAGGCGATGGGTTACTGGTTGGTTTATTGCTAGTCTGAGTTGCTTGTTGCTTATTCTTATTACTCTGGCCATCTGATCTGATCTTCAGTATCGAGTGGGCGTAGGTGGCAGCTGTTGATGAAGTAGAGAATATGTGTTCCTTATAAATTTGATTACACTGACCAAAATGGAAACTTGTAAACAGAAATTTCTGGTTTCTTGAACATGTTAGGTTCTCTACAGTATTAGGCACTGGAAAACAAACTGTTTCAGAATACTAGTTAAGTTGAAATAAAAGCCCTTAACATTAAGTTTGATAGATTTTGGATTCAATCTTCAGGGAAATCTACTGAAATATCGAAAGGAAAAGCTACCTAGTGTCTCCCTAGATTTAGTTATACTTCGTGTAATTTCAGCGTATGATGAAAATCACTTTCAAACAAATCAGGTAGACTCTCCATTATGTGCTTCACAATCATTCCAAAAGTTACTCAACGCATAGAATCAGCATCCTGGAAATGATTCAAGTACTAGATATTTAGTTGTCTAATACAGAAATAAATATAGTAAAGTGGAAAATACAAATAATTGACTACGGAGAGATATGAAGTGCTGAACTGATAACTTTTTACGTGAACGGAATAGCAGGATTACAAAAATGAGTTTGGGTACGATGTTAAGGGCTTGCAGGTGATCAGTTTGAAACCCAACTATGATAGTATTTACTCTATATAAAATTCATATTCTCCTTATTACAGTTAGTGGTTTTACGGCTAAAACTTAGGGACTTCAATATCTAATTCATACAGATAGTGATTGCTCAAGCAGAGGTCCCAATTGATACAATTAATTGCGTAGTCTGCCATTAAGGCTGCCCAAACCAACTAATCAGACGGACAAAATCACCGTAGAATCCTTTCACACAAATACATCAACTCAAGTTGCCACACTTCACACTAGTACACAAAGAAACAAATAGATAGAAAAAGAGTAACACGAAAGTAGAAAAAGTTGTGTGAGAGAACAAGCAGTTTCAAATAACGATCAGTGTAAATATTCAAGCTGTAGGAGACGTCAAAGGGTGAATACATCTACCCATTGTGACTGACATCCGGCCATATCATCAGGAGTTCTCAACCACTCATTCCCATGGTCTAGCGGACCCCAACCAGGTGACTGACATCTCCTCACACGAATCAGACGAACAGCCAGGAACTCCATCGACTTGCGCCACATCTTGGTTTGGTCACCTTAAATCCTCTTCCAATCAAATCCAACTTCCCCTAGCACTGCGCTTCGAGGTAGGCGGTGGCTCTGCATGCACAGTAGGTGTCGAAGCCAACTCAGTCGACTAAGGTTCACAACCTCATCAATAGCTTGCATGTCCTGCCTAGTACCCTTCACCTCACTTCAACATTGCTCACACGGTGATTCCACTAAACGTGAACATTACTACGAAGACAACTATGATCACAACCCCGTAACTGGTTTATATCTTCCACTAGTAACGGCCTTGTCTCACAAATGTACAAGGGGAGAGAACGAAATGGGGCTCAATATACTCGTCATTTGATATTCAGTCGGATATCTCGCTAGTTGGCGCTGCAGATGATGCAAATTGACAAATGCCAAAGAGGATTACTGTATCCGAGTTCACTCTATGCTCACTACTTCAAGCACCTCAATACCATCAATTTTGAATGAAATCTCTTGATATGAGCTGGGCTACTTCATTTCTCCGATTTAATTACAGTTATTGTCGTTACTCTAAATATTAGATTTTTTCATTAAATTTTCATTCTAATAACTTTTTAATTCTTGTCTTTTTTGTGCTCATAAGGTTAGAGAATGGAATATACAGGGTTTACCACGTGATACTTTTTCAGTTGAAAACGGTGTCGTTGTAACACGTGGCAATAGATGGCCATTAATGATTGATCCGCAAAATCAAGCATTAAAATGGATAAAATCAATGGAAGGAAAAGAATTACGCCTTATCGACTTACAAACACCAGATTATATGCGTACACTAGAAATTGCAGTGCTCTATGGTCAACCAGTACTACTACAGAATGTTCATGAACAATTAGATCAAGCTCTAGATCCTTTATTAACAAAATCTTTAATTAAAGTCGGTGGAACATTGATTATGAAATTAGGGGACAAAGAAATTGAATATAATGATAAATTCAGGTTAGCCCTACCTTTTATACTTCAATCGTATAAGATATTCTCAAAAATATCAAATAATGTCAATATAGAATATCAAATGTTTTTTAAGTCAAAGATGAGTTTCTTTGTTTAAAAAAACACTGTTTTTTTCAGCCGAAATAACAAAATTTAATCGATTATGCAGGTACTTGTAAAGGTCTCGTTTTTAAAGGAACTTACCGGAAGGGGTTTAGACGAACGATTATTACACAGAAGTGATTGAAGTTAGTTAATACATGGCTTTAGTTAATGGATGGAGTGATGACCAAGGTAAATAGGTTTAATAAACTGTTACAACAGGCAACCTGAGTCCGAATCATGAATCGGTAAAAGTTTTGATATATATATATATATATATATATATATATATATATATATATATATATATATATATTATTAAGTCCGAACCTGTTATGGAGTGCGACATTATCCTCTAGATTACTCAAAGAAGGCTGGATATCCCTGAAAAGTCCTCACAGTCAATCATGTCATGCCTAATGTTGGAGGAAAACCACGTGATCATATATGTAAGACTCAGATAGGTTAAAGGGCTAGTACTTTCCAAGACCATAAAAAAATGTATATAAGCCGTTAATTTTTATACATATTTAACTGGACAATAAACTTTTATCGTTTTTGACGCTTCTTTTCTGTTTACGAGGAACTAAGTGACCCTCAAGGGTGAAATCTAAGAGTCCACTCCTATATATATAACACAAGGATATATCGGAACCCTTACGAAGATTTCTTTGCATCTGGTAGGCACTGTGGAGTGAACATTCATAGGCTGAATGACTGAAATCAACTGAAGAACATTGAATAGAATATTAGAGTGATTTGTATCGAAATATAAAGAACCTATAGACTATATAGTTCATTATTGCTTACTGGCCAATACATTTTACAGTATCTTCCAACTTGACCAATCATTATATTTCAACCCGAAATTATTATCTTCAAGCTAGTTGACGTAATTGCCATTCTTTTCTTCCTAAGTTCGGTCACTGACCTGGACTACAAACCAGTGGCGAATGGATGTCATTCCGACTATCCGAGATAGCTAAGGTTTGGCGGACTAGTGTTGAAACTGGGTTGTGATTGACGGCGAAATGAAAAGTTGGGCCACGGTTGGGTTTCGACCACAGACCACCCGGTTTCCGGCCCGGTGCTTTGCCAACTGAGCTACGAGGACGGATAACTGACTAGACTTTTAGTTTACTCCAGACACCAAAAGTTTTGTTCAACTGTCATGTGAATTCGTGATGAGTTACTACCGCTTGATCGTACTGACACGGACCGGAAACCCGATGTTCGCTGGTTCAAATCCCGCTGCGGCCTAAATTTTCGTTTCACCTTCAATCATCAACCAGTTGCAAGTGGAGAAAAACGTTATGACTGTTTCAACCTGTTTTAAACTTTAATTTTATCATTAACTACATTGTAATGCTGTATACTCTTTGAAATTTTATCAACTTTAGATTTTATATCACCACAAAATTGCCAAATCCACACTATACACCAGAAATCTGCTCTAAAGCGTTAATTGTAAATTTTGCAGTCAAACAACAAGGCTTAGAAGCTCAACTACTTGGAATTGTAGTACGTAAAGAACGTCCTGAATTAGAAGAACAAAAGGATAATTTAGTTATGGGAATTGCTGCTGGTAAACGTAAACTTACTGAATTGGAGGATGAAATATTGAGGTTATTAAATGAAGCTCAAGGTTCATTATTAGATGATGAACAACTTGTAAATACCCTGCAAACATCGAAAGTTACTTCATCTGTAAGTGATTTTTAAAAAAATCAATTTTTCAATGAATACTGAACAAAATGGAGCAGATAAAAATCATCTGAACGATGCAGTTGATGATATATTTGAATAACCTCTTCTTGGTTCATGATGAGACGTAGTGTTTAAATTTTTTCAAATATCCACCATCTCGTATTGGTCTTGGTGATTTACAGCGGAATCCCAAACGCACGTTTCATCCTATTTGGGAGTCATCAGTCAGACGCACTTCTTTCCAGTGATTGATTTTGCTGCCTTTGAGACTCAGACCAAGTACCTATCGCTCCAAACACCAAAGTGTTATGGACTAGGCACTGGGGCATACCCAGCCGACGAGTCCTTGGTAGGATGAAGTGTTCGCCCTGGATTCCATTGCTAGTCAAGAGATAAACACGACATAGTGAATATCCGGCAGTATCCAGGTATCCGGAAAGCAGCCCATCTGCCAAGAGAGGTCCAGCAACTGGCAGAATCATCGCGTGAGCAATGTCAAGGTGAGGTGAAGGGTACTAGGCAATATATGCAAGCTTATTGATAAGGTTGTGAACCTTAGTCGACTGAGTTGGCTTCGACACCTACTGTGCATGCAGAGCCATCGCCTAATCGTTATTTGAAACTGCTTGTTCTCTCACACAACTTTTTCTACTTTCGTGTTACTCTTTTTCTATCTATTTGTTCCTTGTGTACTAGTGTGAAGTGTGGCAACTTGAGTTGATGTATTTGTGTGAAAGGATTCTGCTGTGATATTGTCAGTCAGTTAGGAATTTTGTGACGGTATTCGCTTACCAGCTTGAATGGTGACAGAAGATGCTTATTAGTAATGTTAGAAGATGGTAATACAACAAATCGAAGTTGATGGATGGTAAATACTTAGCTTCAGCTTGATAGCTTTATTTTAGTACATTTGTTACGAAGTCTAAAGGTCATGGATTAAGATTTAAAAATATTTAAAAGATTGTTATAAAGTTTCAAAACAGAGTATAGCCAGGTTGTAACTGTTTGTTTCATGTGTCCCAACCAGTCGCAAGCTTAAAATCATTTATATCAGTCAAAGCCTAAAAATATTTAGGATGCTTAAATATATTAGGTTTGAGTCGATGTTTGATATTTTTAACCTCCCTTTTCTGTACTGGGTCTAAATGCTCGACCTCTGGTGGCAGATGGGTTCTTAAGCAGATGCCTCAATGCTGCCTGACTTCTCATAATGTTGGTATCCGTTTGGTAGCTGGCAGTGGAATCCAGGACTCATGTTTCATCTTAATTGGAACTTGTCAGCTGGATGTACCTCTATCGCATCTGCCAACAGACGTTGAGCAGTATGACCCAGCATGGCAACTGGAGATTAAAATTACCAGTAAATAATAACTGATACCCGTCGCAAAAGTGGTGGCTGTTGTACCCCATTTACCTAATGGATAACACTTTGACATTTGAAGTGATTGATACCAGGTTCAAGTCTCAATGGGAACAAAACCACTCACTGAGAGGGAGATTCATCCAGTTAATGAGTCCAAAAAATGACGAAACGTGCGTCCTGAATTTCACTACTGGCCACCAAGTAGACATCACCATTACATTTCAGTTTAACTAATAATCTACCCTCAGTCATTTTATCCTGTTGAATGCTTCCAAACCATATTTAGTTGGGATGACATTGCATGCCCAGCCCTAAGTGTTAACAAGGATTCTGAAAATTAACGGACCACACTTTTACACCTAACACATATTTCTCACCAAGTTCTCAGTAACGTGTAACAGTTTACTGTATTGTTACAATCTTGATGGTTGTTCTGGTATAGACTACTACAATGCAGTAATTGTTGAATTGTAAAATTTACGTGAGTGTTTGTTTCATTCTCCAGCTTGAATTTTTGAATTACATGTAAATATAAAATAAAACTATACAGTTTTATTCATTCTGAGTCAAACTGAGATCACAACTGCCTGCAAATATCAAGTGGGGTTATTATTATTTGTCATATTATTCATAAGTCCACTTACTGTAATGCAGGTACACTTAGCTGACAAGTCCCAAACATGACAAAGTACGTATCTTGGATTCCATTACTAACTAGTATCCATCACAACTACGAATGGGTTCAAGGTAGTATTCATCACAGACTGACATCAGTTGGAGAACCAATGAAAACCCGGGAGCACCGGATAGTCTTTTGGTCCTGATATGGGATTCCTCAGAAGTACGCTAAGGAAAAGTTGTGATTCATAAAGAATGTTTGTTTATATATCTTGTTTTTTCTATCCCTTTTTCATCATCAGGAAGTTACTGAACAATTACGTATAGCTGAAAAAACAGAAGTACAAATTGATAAAGCTCGTGAAGGCTATCGTCCATGTGCTCAACGCTCTTCTATACTCTTCTTTGTACTGAATGATATGAGTCGTATAGATCCAATGTACCAATTTTCCCTAGAAGCCTATATTGATTTATTTACCTTGAGTATTGATAAAAGTCAAAGATCAGCGAAACTAGATGATCGTATATTACACTTGAATGATTATCACACATATGCTGTATATCGTTATACATGTCGGGGTCTATTTGAACGACATAAACTGCTGTTTTCATTTCATATTTGCTTACAAATACTTGAAGCAGCTGGTAAAATGAATCAAGATGAATATAACTTTTTTTACGTGGTGGTGTTGTATTAGATCGTGAAAATCAATTTGATAATCCATGCTCAATATGGTTAACAGAGCAATGTTGGGATAATATTACAGAATTAGATAAACTAGCTAGTTTTCATGGTATTGTTACATCATTTGAACAGTATTCAAGGGATTGGAATTTATGGTATACAGCAGCTGAACCAGAGAATAGTCCATTACCAGGTGAATGGGATAATACATTGAATGAATTTCAACGTATGCTTATTGTACGTTCATTGAGACCAGATCGGGTATCATTTTGTGCAACAAGTTTCATTGTTGATAATTTAGGCAGTCGATTTATTGAACCACCTGTACTAGATATGAAACAGGTGGTTGATGACAGTACCACTAGAACACCATTAATTTTTGTATTATCACCTGGTGTGGATCCTACAGCTGGACTTTTACAATTAGCTGATAATTGTGGAATGAGTAAAAAATTTCATGCTCTATCATTGGGTCAAGGTCAATCACCAATTGCAACACGATTAATTAAGGAAGGTATAAAAGAAGGCAATTGGGTATTTTTGGCTAATTGTCATCTTTCATTGTCATGGATGCCTGCATTGGATAAGATTGTTGAACAGTTAGGTGTAGAAGAAGCACACTCCGATTTTCGTTTATGGCTTTCATCGAGTCCCAGTCCATCATTTCCTATTTCAATTCTACAAGCTGGTGTTAAAATGACTACTGAACCACCTAAAGGATTACGTTCAAACATGAAACGACTTTATCATCTTATAAAGGTTAGTCGTACTTTTGTTAGAAATAATAATCACTGAATTAGACTGCTAATGAATTGAAACAATTTATAATTTGTTTTTTCTCTCAAAAAGTACCTACTCTTGTCAACCATTATCAGAGACAAAGTGATATACTACTGAAATAGCTATTTGAAAGTCAACAGTTTACATTCTGCAGTAGCTGAAGCTTTCGTTGACTTTCATCAAGAGCTTATATCTAGTGTTAGGAGCTTCAAACTAAGGCTGTTACAAGTAGTCCAGTTACCATTTTAGAATTTTTTGGAGGAAAAATCAACCGTATAGAAGCTACTTCAGTTTTATAATTCATGGCGATCAAATAAAGATTGCGCCATTGCTAGAATGGACAGACACAGCTGATTGGTCAATGTTTCCCTTATAAGATTTCTTGTAAATATTCGACCTTAACCTTTGTCACAAGTAATACCATTCGCATTTTACTAACCTATCATTAAACTTGGTCATAGAGTGTCGTCAATATTCTTTTGGTCCATTGTTGACTGTTATCTGGGAGGAAAATGTTTCTATATTAAACTTGGCAGTTGTCGGCCTAGCAAAATAATTATGTAAACAGATATATTTTTAGTTAGTTTTCGCATTTTTCAGAGCAATAGATCTTATCTTCTGAGTCTTCTACTAGTTTGGTGACAGTATCCCAACGGTCAGTATCAATTACTGTATGTCAGTGTTGTGACTGTATAATGACAGTTCATAATTCGTAACCCATCGGTTAGGAGAAACCTACAAACCAGTATTATTTGGTCACACTACGCATACTACTTAAGCATGACAACACAACCGAATTGGTTGCTTTTTATAGAGATAAATGGCTTATGACCACAGTGTGAAACTAAAAGAATTCTCCTTTCTCAGAGCGGTTCTTATGTGAGGTTGATACAATCAGAGTGACGGTAAAACCTGGTCATTTTTAACATGCTTTTGCTTGGAAAACGATATCTCTGACTGTGGATAGGCTCCTCGATAATTTTGATAGCGATAAAGTAGTTGAATAATTGATAAATGAAGGACTTCTGTAAAGGAGTATGTACTTTAAATGTGTAGGCGCTATATCCTCATTTCTCCATGACTACATGAAAGACTGTTTATATAATGGCGTACCTCGTGTTGAAGTCGAAAATCGTTTCGTAATGCTTCCTTCTGCTGATTTATTTATGATGTTGCGAGAAGTTATGCTACGCATTTGATTATTAGTACTCTAGTGATCAGCACAACTGGATTGGTGGATGTGAGCGAGCTAATGCTTATGCGATGGTATCAGCAGTATAGAGGTGTTTGTCAACAAACGATATGCAATTCGCAGATTTTTTTCCAGTGATATCGGGAATGTAGAGGAAGCTCATAAGACTATGATGAGAAAAATAAAGCATAATGATGACAGAAATACAAAAACAAACAGGTAGCTTGATACCAAGACGTTTGGTATTTGGGATAGGAACACACGTAAAGGTCACTTTAAAAATGTAGATGACCGAAAGTTCACTATACCTCTATCTATCATGCACAAACAGGTGTCGTCAGGGACAATGACTAACACTGGCAAGATTGTGACCACTAAGTCGTTTCCGCCAACACCTCTCCGTAAGTCAGTTTACTGGTGTACACAAACAATATTGGAGTCGGCTGGAAGCTTGCTTGCACGCATAACACGGATTACTGACTCTGATGCTTTAGCGTCAAATAAATGAGTTCTTATACGGCATACAATTAAGTTGCAATCCCTTAAAACCCATTCAGAATTTGCAAAAGTTCCTAAATCATGTTAAAATACTTTATCCACTGCAGTTTACCTCTTTAGTAGATGGGATTTATTGTGCGATTCCCTTGTTTTCTCATCGATGCCCTCGAGGTTATCTAAGAGTCAATCTGTTGGCTGTCCTTCTGCTTAACCTCTGACCTTTCTATCGTTTGCCATCTTTCTTATTGGTTAATAAATTGGGTCTATGTCTATACACCTGTTGATTGCTGACTGACCTGAATGCCAAGCTTCTAGAAATTCTCTGACATTTTTTGTTTTTCCTATGTCCAACATTTCTGCGTTGTCAAAATTGAATTCATGTGCTCAGTTATTCACGCTCATTGAAATGAGCGATGAAATGTCGTGACGTTCAATAGCCAACTAATGTTCATGTAGACGAAGGCGAAGAGGGCGAACACTTTGTCCAATTTAGTGTTGATCACAATTATTGCAACAGATTTTGTAAATGATATTTGGTTTGTTTTCTTCGGCCTATGCATCCTTTGGTCTGCATAATAGTGTTTGAGGGGAATTTGTTGGTTTATGAGCCACACTACTTCCACGTGGTCTCAGTAATCTTGTTGCGATTTCTGATATATTCTTCATGTACGGTAGGATGATCCCTTTATTGGTTTCTGTCGATGAATTTGTAGTTGATGATGCACGATATAGATACTTTTGGATAAAGCTTCGTGGGGACAATGAACACCATTCTCGTATTTTAATCAACTGAGGTTTTGCAATCAAATTATGTGTGTGAGAAGTCAGAATCGAGTGAGAGTTTCTTTCTTGCTCAGCGGAAGTTATATGCGTACTGTGAAATCAAGTGATACGTGCACAAAACGGTAACACTGATATGGCAAGATGTGATAAATGCTATGTGGAACTAAAAAGGATCAAATAAAACTATATCCTCAGTTTCTTTGGTCGTCACCTAATTACTAGGAAAAATTTTTAATACCTCTTTGCTAAAATGTACTAGGGTAATCAGTAATTTGACTCAAAAAGGCATCTTTTAAAGATATAAAATAACTAAAGGCTGTGTGACAGTAGTTATTAATCAGTTTATGCGAAAACATTACGTTATGGAGAATTATGGTTACGAAAACAGCATTTGTGCAAATAAGTAAGTAGACGTTATTTTTATAAAAAGAAGAATGGATCCAATAATGGCGGCTCAGTTTCGATCAGTAAGAGCGATAGAAGTTCCTTTTCATTTGTCAAAAAACCAATGAACATAGAACTTCCAAGGTTACCCCCCCCTTCCTCCCCTCATGATTTTAATGTGATTTAGTCTGATCTACCGAACGACGCACTCGCTTTGATTTCAGTTTTGTGATTACTTTTTATATAATATTTTATTTGGTCATCAGTGTTATAACTGCAAAGTGGTAGAATTCTTATCTGGTGATTTTCTGATCCACTTATAACGCTGGTGGTGTACGTGAACGACTTGGTGCATAATTGCAACATCTTGTATACACAATTCACCTAGAGATTAGTCAAATTATTTGCTTCTTAACCTGCGTAAAATTGAAGACTACATATGACGCTCACTAACCTAGTGTATCTGAAGTCTGAGTCATGCATACAGATGTCTGATTTATATATCCAAAACGTATTAAAGTTCATGATACTGAATGGAATTGTCTGACCGCTGTTGGTTTATGAGCTGCTGGAATCCACAGCGCTCATTTTTTCTGATTCGGGTCTCATTAGATGGATGTGTTTCATCCCCAGCTAGTGATGGTGTCCCCAGTGAGACTCCAACTCAGTGCACGTCACTTAAGATGCCAAGGCGTTAGCCACCATGCCCACTAAGGCACGACAACTACCTCTTGTGCAATGGGTATCAGTTATTATTGATTAGTGCTTGTAATCGCCCGTTTCTATACTGAATCGAATCGCTTAACTTCTAGTGTTAATGTATTCAACAGTTTGCCGTTACATTAAACCTAGTTTGGAAACTCAGCTTTTGATATCAACTATGATTAATGTAACATATTATCTTTCTCTTTTCTTCTCACTCACACTGTAAAGGAGGATCAATTTTCTGCATGTCAAAAACCTGAAAATATAAAAAACTCTTATTTTCATTGTGCTATTTTCATTCTGTTATCTTGGAGCGTAGAAAATTTTTAATGCTTGGTTGGAATATTCCATATGAATTTAATGATTCAGACTTTGAAGTATCTGAACACTTGCTGACAAATTATTTAGAACAATATGATGAAACTGCATGGGATGCATTACGTTACTTAATAGCAGATATTAATTATGGTGGTCATGTAACAGATGACTGGGATCGTCGATTATTAAATACATATATCAGTGATTATTTCAAAGATGAAGTACTCAAGGAACCATTCTATAAGTTATCTTCATTACCATATTATTATATACCAAGAGACGGTACGTTAAATGCTTATCGAGAATTTGTCTCTCTGTTACCACAAATTGATCACCCTGAAGCATTTGGTCAACATCCGAATGCAGATATTACTTCCCAAATTCAAGAGACAAGAGTTTTATTAGATACACTGCTTTCATTACAACCTCAGGTGAGTAATTTTACTACTGATTTGGCTATAAGTAGTTTACTTTACGCTTATGTACATGTATGTTGTATGCATTTGAGTCAAAATATGATGTATAAATCATGTACCTTTGTGGAGATGCAGTGAAGATGATCCTCTGTACATTAAAGAATTACGGGTTTGAAACTACTTCATGCTACTATTATTTTGCGATTAATTTTGCACACTTGACATACACAGAAACCCAAAGGAATAAACGAACAAGGTATTTATTGTCAAATCACCTTGTAAACTAGAGGGGTAAACTTTTGATGGTGCCGTGTTCCCTGAGCTCAGTGGTTTAGTTGTGGAGCTTTCATAGTCATTGTCTTGATAAAAATCCTCAGCACAAACTTCATAAAGAAGCTGAGATAATACAACACCATCACAATCATCCCCCTGAGCTACAAATATTCCATGTCATCTCAACGTAGGGTAAACTCACTGATTAGGTGAGGTCTCAACCAGGAATACCATGATCAGAAGATCGTAATATGTAAGCCATCCACCATGCAGATATGAGTGTAAATTTTCTTTCTTTCTTACTGTTAGATGAAGCGTTGAAAAGTGATTTGAGTGCCGAAATGGGGGTGAGGATGGTTGACATTTCCCAAATGTCTACACGGTGGTAGGTTACTGATTTTAGAGGCAACTGAAAAAGATATTGGATTAGTAAGGATAATTTAATTGGCCGGGTTGTGTGACCGCAGAACCAAAATGAAATCTGTTCGAGGCTTATCACATGTTACCTTTGGTCTTTTTTTATTTATAGTGGGTGATGATTGAAGGTGTAGTGGAAGTTCGCATGGTGGCGGGATTCGAACCGGTGACCATCGGGTCACTGGCCTGGTGCTCTACCAACTGAGCTACGAGATTCGACCGTTGACCAGATCTTTCATTTCACTCCAATCATTAAGTGTTTTGCCTAACTACTATATGAATCCGTGACGCGTTACTACTGCTGGATCTTACACTGACTGCCCAGTCAGAACTTCTTATCCCAACCCAAAATCTAACTGAATCAGAGAGGGGGAGCATCATATTGATTATCATTTGAACCATCTGAAACAGCTGTGGTTTGGTAGACTTGTACTGACACTGGATGATGACTGAAAGTAAGATGAAAATCTGGACCTCAGTGGGATTTGAACCAGCAACCATTAGGTTTTCGGCCTGGTGCTCTACCAACTGGGCTACGAAACCCGATAGTCTGAAGTCAAACTTCTAATATGCACATGGGACCCAGTATTATTATGTAGTGGTGTTAGCTGTAGCATTTGACATAAGCATATTCAAATTCAATGCTACAGGACAAAATAAAAATGAGTAGAAACTACGATAAAAGTCATAGAAAGTTAGATAACAAAAGAAGAGGGATTAGAGCAAATAACCAGATATGACAAGCGATTGAGATGAAGATAGCGCATGAGTTTATTTGTACCACCTAGGTCGATTCTGAGTCATATCATCCAGAGTCTTCAGTCACCTGTTTTGGTTGTCACACTGAGCCGAAACTAGAAGTTTGGGTTTCCTGCATATCTCATACTGGCAGTCTAAGATTGCCACTAGTTGCAGTCATGAAGGATAGGGTATACTGAAGCTCCAAGAATGAATTAGTTATTTGTAGCTAAACTGAATCACGAGTTAGATACATTATGTTTGAACTGCTGAATTGAGATAAATCATGTGGTTATGCCTATAAAAGCCAGAAGAGAAATGGAAAATTCCTTGGAAATAGCACTTTAGATCTATTACATCGTATTCATTGTTTCATTAACTTATTTGAACAAGTGAAAAGTCTTTTTTAATGTATTATCAGGTTTATTCCTACAACCGATCCAAATTCCAAAGTATTATGATTTCAAACTGCTATAGCCACTAACAACGCACTGAAATAGACTCTCAGCCACTAATGTTCAACGACTTCCCAGTTGATTCCTGACTCGAATAATTAATGGGGAAGATACAGTGAACGTATAGGAACATGTATTTAGACCGAAGACAGTAAACGAAGGAAAATATATCTAAGCACGTCCATAGTCTGGGGTTTAAAGTAATAATGTTGATTGGCTGATCTGTCGTCTCGCAGTCTAATGTAGACATGACTTACATAAAGTATATTTGATTGATCCATTTCTGAATTAGTCTTTTTTGTCCCAATCCCCTTGTCAGAAGTTACTATATAAGTTACAGGAACTTTTATGCTTGATTCTGAGTCAACGACGGATTCTTCATGATGAGTGAAAGGTTCTGAGCCTAACAGCTTATGTATAAAGTCACTTGTTTAAGAGTAGTAGACACTGTGGGAAACACAACATTATCATAAAATAACTGCACTGAGAATTATCTATGGGATTTGATTTGAATGACTGGGAAGTAATTTTGTCTTCACAAAATCTTACTTCTGCGTTCAGTTTTGAAGTGATTCTAAGTGACAAAATCATAATCGTAAGGAAATTTGTGTATGGGGCTACTTATTCTTTAGTTTTGATATGGTTTTATAGAGTGGGCAATAATCTTTTTTAAATTTACCAATAGAACACCTTGCAATTTATTTATACCCTTTATCTCAGACAACACAAAGTACTGGAGTTTCACGTGAAGAAAAAGTTCTTGAGTTGATTGACAACCTACAAAAGCAGTTACCTGAAGATATTGATTATGAAGGGACTGTGAAAATATTCGCAACAGACCATTCACCATTAGTAGTTGTCCTATTACAAGAAATACACCGTTATAATCATCTTCTTGGTTTGATACGTAATCAACTGACAGATTTAAACAAAGGAATTCAAGGTCTAGTCATCATGTCTTCTGAGCTTGAGGAGATATTCACTTCAATTTTCGATGGACATGTTCCAAAGCAATGGAGTAAGGTAGATGCATGAGTTAAAATATTTTAGTTTCATATGCTGATGCTATATATATTCTTGCTTGTTTGTCGATTAGCTTCCACATCTATTCATTGAATTTTCTAGATTTATTCAACACTGTTATAAAACCGCTTGTACTGGGATGAAAAAAGTGAAGAAAGTAAGTTTGACCAGTCTGTTTTGAGGGAGAATCTTCCAGGAGAATAATTTGTTACCTATTGAGTTTAGAAAACAAGTTTTTGCACTCGTTTGGATGGCTTATTTGATTTAGAGAGAAGAGATTCATCTCTAAACCTGTCAACCTAAAGAAGTCCGTATCATGAAGAAATGTTTTTAACCTTTTGTTTCTAAAGTAATTTGTTTCAGAAAATAATTTGATATTTTGATTAGAGTATGACCAAATGAGTAACTTTCTCAGTTATATGTTTGTAGTGGGATTCCAACCGTCATATATTTCATAATTTATCACTTAATTTTTAAGCATTAACAGCAAGTATGCTTCCAGTTGGCAGTGAAAATAAACATTTTGCTAAAGTCCTGTCTAAGTACAAATAATTCCACAGACGAATGAAACGAACGATGAACTGAGGTATTTTGCTAGGCATGATCAGAAATAATGTGGATACAAACTAATATTGGAGCATCATTTCTCATATTGAGAATGCGATGTACAAGCTAAAAAAAATTGTTTCTTGTTTAAAATGATCTTCTTTGGCTGGTAGGATATTCTTATCTGTTTAATCTAGTTGATAAGGAAGCCTGAGTACTTCCTTTCTCATAAGTGAGAAATAGGTATAATGCAAAAAATTAGAACGCACAATAGAATATCAGATACTTTGACATTTTTTCTTTATTCTCCAAGAAGCAATCCTCTCCTGAGTAGTACTTATTTTCTCTTTGCTGCCGAATGTTTGATCAAATTTAATCATCGTCTATCTGTGCTAATTTCCTGTTGAGCGTACTGAACCTAAGGCATACTGAATGATCTAGTTGTATACCATTCAGATCGACTATTTTCCAGGGTTGTTATCCTTCATTCTGTTACAGAAAATTATTTTCATTTAAACTGCATAATTCTTCGTTTGCTTAACTTTTTGTTATATTTTAGACATATTCTTCACTGAAACCTTTGGGTTCCTGGTCTAGAGATTTAGCGGCACGTGTTGAGTTATTTTCAAAATGGGCTGGTACAGCACATCCACCAAAATTATTCTGGATTGGTGCATTCACTTTTCCAACGGGATTTCTTACAGCTGTTCTTCAAACAGCAGCAAGAAAGAATAATATCTCTGTGGATAGTTTAAGCTGGGAATTTACTGTACTTACTACAAGTGATACAAATGTATTGGTTTCACCAAAAGATGGTGTATATATTAGTAATTTATACCTACAAGGTGCTGGATGGGATCGAAAAAATCAATGTTTAATTGAAGCTGCACCAATGCAATTAGTTTGTCCAATGCCTGGTGTACACTTCAAGCCAGTGGAGAATAAAAAGAAATCATCTAAAAGTAATCAACTGATATTGACTATTGAATATGAAGTTTTTTCGGTAGATTTATTACCTGAATATATATGACTGAATTGTAACATACTGAGATCATAAGGTTTTATAAAATTTGCAAATATAAACACAACTATACTTTTATGGACAGTTCAAAACAATAATGACTAGAGCTGGACGTTACAATGAAAGACAGATAAGAAAGAACGACTAATGTATTAGAATTCTTTGTACAGAGTTACTTTTCAAATGCATCACCGTGTCTAACACAAAACTTGAACTCAAACATGAATCCTGGAGTATTCTTATAGTTTTTAAATTACGTTATATTTGTCATCGCAAGACCTCATTCAGAAAAGTATAATAACTATACTGACTTTGAATAAAGTACACTAGATGTGGAATTACTTGAAAACTGATCATCTTAGTAAAGGAAACAAGATAAAGTGCAGTTGTACACGTATCTGAGACAGTGACAAATATTAGACGTAGTAATAGCTATTCAGGTTGTGTTACCTACAAGAACACACATAAGTAGTATATTATGCGACATCATAGGGGAAGAAATAAGAGTTGACATTCAATTGGTAGAGACTATGCAGAAGGTACAGAAAAATATTGGATGATAACATTACAGGCAAGTGGAGAGGTGACAGAAATAGTACGACAACTTATCTAAGAAGAATGTAGGTGCTGTTTGCATAAACTTCATTGAATGCAAGGTTGTAATATTTTATCAGTAATAATTGTAAATTTCCTAACAATTCATGCCATTTCCGTAGACTAATGTAAATCTAAGCCATAGTAGTTACAGGTAGTCCCCTACTCTATAGTAGTTATTATCATCTAAATATCAGACCTAGTAGAGATTTATGCACTAGACTGAACTAAACCTTTTGTTTTCTGTCGCTTCAGTTTTACTTGACTGTCGTAAGCTTGGTAGGTGGGGATTTGCTTGTTGTAAATAATGGTTTAATCTTATTCTTGAGATTACAGTTGACCCAACTTAGTACTAATATATATTCTTTTGCAGAACAGGTGAAGTAATCTTATAAATATGAATCTATTTGAAAAGTCCTACGACCTAGTCTGAGACAGAAGTGTATCCGAAAGCGTTTAGTACTCAGTATTCTATTGATTCATTTGCTCATCATTTATTACTTTCTGGGGTTCCTTATTCATCATACAATAGGGAAGTATTTTAGTGATTTGCATATCTTGATATGTGAATTTCATTTCAACTAGTAATGTCTTCTATTTCACTCATCGAACTAAATAAACCTATTTACAAATGTTGGCGGTGACATAAGTTTTGTGATATAACTGAAATGTATTATGATTAATTATTGAAATGCTAGCCAATATTTGTATGTTGACAAAGTATAGAAATGAGTTCTCATGAATATGGCAGAGATACATAGATTACATCAACAAAAGACCTGACGTTCCTGAGTAGAAGTTTCTAGCCAGTGGTTTCGGTTGTCCTTCGGACGCCAACGGGGAGGTTCACCTTCCTCTTCACAGCCCAGACCAACAGTCAACGACTTCATGGAGTGATGCCATGTTTTAGTCTGGCCATTTCTTACGTTCTTTTTAACCTGAACCTGCTTCAGCTAACATTGTGCTATGAAGCAGAGAGTGACTAGATATGCGTAACACATGTCCGAGCCACCTCAGCCGTTAAAGTTCCACAACCTCATCGACCGGCGTTCCACTCCTCCCTAAAACCCTACGCTTTACTTTTGCGTTAACCACGTGGTGACACCACAACCCAGCCTACGCCACGAAGGCAACAGTGGGCGAACACTTGAAGCCTACGCATGCTTTTAATGCTTCAGACAGAACAGAGCGAACTGCGGTACAGTACACTTCACCTTATATCGATAACATAGTGGTGCCACAGATAGCGCAAGTTGGTGAAGCTCAACAGAGCCTTTTGTATCCATGCAAAAAAATTTGCCGCCCACTAAAGCTGAAACAATTTTGCGGGTGACTGATATAGTCAACACACCAAGCCACCTCATTCCCTATTGTTAAACAAGTCAGCAACGAAGCCCAGTTATCGAGCAACAGTTTGCATTTAAGTATTGAGAAATGCATCCCAAACATTCTCAAATTGCCAGTAAATGTATCCAGAAGACTCTGCATCTTGCCAACGTCTTCACTTAACAGGGGTATGTCATCTGCGTACTCCATATGTAACAAGGATTCATCTGTGATAAGTCCAACCCCTGTTCAGTCAAATGGCAAGATGGAGACCTCCATAAGTATGTCTATGATAAAGTTGAATAAGCATAGAGGGAGTGAACATCTTTGACGGTTACCACTGGATATACAGAACTCACCAAAGGCACTCACACACCCATTGGTGTTTCGGTACAGAGTTTCCAACAGTGATGTACTTACTTGGTACCCCTTTCAGTGACAGAAACCGCCAAAAGACCTGATGGTCAATGGAGTTGAATGCCACTTTTAGATAGAGAAATGAAGTATCAGGTGCCAATGTGGCTGTGTTCCAGAAACTGCAGGACAGTGAATATCTGGTAGGTACACCAACGATCAGGTCTGAAACTTGTCTGGTTTTCTAGGGTTTGTTGTTTCCGAGGTCCACTCATGCGTCCGACAATTACAGAACGTGGAATCTTAGACGCTATGCTCGTCGGGCTGATTGTCCTGTGATTATGAGATCTCTCCTCTTTCTTGAAGACCGAAATGGTCGAAGATTGGGACTAGTTACAGGGGATCATATCCGATTCCAATACGTTAGCTAACACTTCAGGTAACCTGACCAGTAGTCTCCGACCAACAAACCTAAATACCTCCGGTACAACTCTCTTTGGCATTTTCTTGCTTCTGGTCACTTACACCTTATTAGATTTATGCACTTTTGGAAGCTTTATTTCAATGTTCCATTCAGGGTCCAACTGAGTACTGGGTAAAGCAGTGATAGCTGGAGGTCAGTTGAACTGTTCCGCCCATCAATCCAGTCCTCTCCTCTGATGGTGAGTCACAGGTCCATCCTTCCCCACTATAGTCTCACTAACCACTGGCCTTTTCACCCCAGTTTCCTTAAGTTTGAATAACTGTCTAATGTTACTTATCACCACTGCCTTTTCTATTTCTTTAATCGTCGCTACCCACCACTACACGCGGACCTTGCATAGACTTCTTATCAGTCTACATTTGTTATAATATTCGCTCGTCATTGTATTCAAAGCCTGCAGGGATGCGTTTGCACGCGTCTATTAATCTATAAGTTGCTGAAATCCAAAGGTGCTTTACGACCCCTTTGTGATAGTCACCTACGGTCTTTGATATTGGTTTTATAGCAGACTGGAGATGGTACCAAGCTTCTTCTGAATGAGTGTTGTTCTGTTCTGATAACTGTTCAGCCAGTTTCTCGCTGAAAAGAGCCTTAGTATTCTCAACATAAAGCTGCACTCGCAGTGGTCTTGCTGTTGTGGTTTTTCTATGTTCATTTAGGTGCGAACATACACTTGTTTGAACCAACGCGTGATTGCTGTCCGAACACATGCTCAAGAAGCAGCAATAGTCTTTCACCTGACCCTCTCCAGAGAATACTGATAGCAAAGCGGGTTGTCTTTGTCCACTGCTGAGTTGTAGTCGGTGACCGTAACACCAGACAATTCCTCTCTTTATGTCTGAAGTTGCTTCTGGACAGAAATAGATGGTTGTCTGAACATAGTGGGTGATCGCAGCTATCTTTCCATACTGCTTGGATTCCGAAAGTGCCTTTCTGTTCGACTTAGCCCACCCCCTTGTGAACTGATATCACCTGCAACAACCACACCTGGAAGTTTGGCTTTCAATAAGACGGTAGACAATTTTCATTAGAATTCCTCCCTCACTTCTTCATAGATGCAGTTAACTGCATAAATAGAGATTACATAGAGACGACGACTTTCACAATTCCTTTTAGTCCTTACTGTACTATTCAATCGAATAGCAGATAGGCAACTGGGATCCAGTCAAGCGGTGGACTCCCTGCCTTAGCATCAAGCGCTATACTTATACTTGCAACACCGTGAGAACTAGCCATCGAATCTCCAGAAACTCGGATTTTGCAGACTTATGATATTGGCTGGGCGAAGCCAAATGAACAACCCCATGCACATCTCACAAACACATCACGCATCCATAGTCTGTGGTGTCAAAGGTTTGACTAGCAAAGTTTGTTGGCTGATTTGATGGAGGGTGTGGAAATTGGAAGCTACGAGTAGTTTGGAGCACGGTTTCAGAAGAGCAGGCATGCTGTTTCATGAACAGCGACAGTTAATACAATAAACAGGAAATACTGGCACAGTAATCGTTATCTATAAAGGTCTCTAAACAGCAACTCTGGTAAAACTCCTTCAGATGACAGTCCGGTTCGATTATTAGGCTGTTGTGAATTCGCCACCCTGATATAACCATTCATTTCCCATCATATTTGACGAACCGTATTTAATTTACGACTCATTGCTCCGGCTGTTTAAATACCAGTAATTTTAACTGTATTTCTGATATCCGTCAAGTAACTTAAATTGTAAACCTTCATAAGTTGCATAATACTAGAATACATCATTTCCACAATCTAACGTCTGTTGAATCGTAGTGTCTGAGAAGTAGTGAAACTTTATAGTAGAATTTCAATTGACTAGCGTCTTGTTTCATGGATGAAAATTTAGTTTTGACGTTCCTGTTGATAAATCTCCAGAGATGTGATTTGTTAGTTTCACTAATTGATGGAGTAGTGTGTAAATCGAAGCGGTTCCTTCAACTTCGCGTAAAACGGCAGCAAAGGTGACTTTTAAAATACGCCTGGGAACATTTAAGTGAGTCAACACTAACTGCTATTTCGTTGTAAAATATGAGTTCTTATTTTCAAGACCCCAAATCTTTTATCTCTTTCAGATGTCTACGTAGCCCCATGCTACTATTATCCAAATCGAGCTGGTACATCAGAAAAGCCTTCATTCATGATTGGAGTTGAGTTGAAAACTGGCGAGAAACCACCTGAACATTGGACGAAACGAAGCACTGCACTCTTAATGAGCCTGGATGTTTAAAAATGCTACCTTTCCTTCAAATGCATTGTATCTATAATTCATCTTAACTTTTTATCCAGTATCTTTATATTGTTCGTGTGATTAGTAGGAGTTACTTGGGATATTATTGTAAATTGGTATTCTCAGTTACTCCAATTCACTGCATTGTTTCAATAGGCTATATTTTTATGCCATAAAAACAACCTACTTAAAAATGGTTCCTTTTGGTGTTGGGTATTTTGATGTTTAATTAGGGACAAAACAAAATATTCCTAGTGGTTCTCTTCAATACTGTGATTACTCGCTTACATATATTTTGGCATTATTCTTATTACCAATTAGTCATGAGATGACACAGTAATATCCGAATACTTTTCCGAAAATAAATCAATTCTGTGGAGAACTATCTATTTTTAATTTCAGATTGCAAAAATTGAGAAAATATTCAAGAAAAAAACTTGCGCAATGTGGTAGAATGTAATCCCGTTTTTATTGATTTATCACACAGTGTAACAGTTTTGTTTACTGGGTTACGTTTCGGACATAATTTACTGTCCATAGTCATATCAGGATAACTACACAACTTTGAGATATCCTTTATCTAGTCCTAATTTCCTCGCACCCTTTGTGATATGGGCAGTAAGATTTTCCATATATCCGGAACAGGTGATAAGTCATTTCTGTTGAATGTATTAGGTGCCTATTCGATAAGCAAAGATTCACTTATCAATCTCTCCATCCACCCTGTTATGTTAGTTATAAGGATTTTCACCAAGTCCCATCCTATTGTATGGTTGTATGTGCAAATTCAGTAGTCAATACAATCCAATTCACTTCTGAATTAAAAAATAGTGAAGGGGAATTAGCGATGTTGGATTGAAGAATAAAACGGAAGCAAGATGGAAGGTTAGACACTAGTGTCTACAGAAACCCTTCACATTCAAATCGTTACTTAGACTTCAAATCGTCTCACCCCATGTTAGTTAAAGTTGGCTTAGTAAAGTGTCTAAGTAACAGGGCCGAAAAACTTACTAGTAAAACCGAAGATCTAAGACAAAAAACCAGATGCATTAAATATACCTTACTCATCAACACTTACCCTCCCAAATTAGTTGATACGTTCCTTAGGAATCGTAAGAAAAATACCAGTGACACAGGTATTAATAGTATTAACAATAGTGGCAATAATGTTAATAATAGTGTAGTGGCTATATTGTGAAGAAAGAATTCAAGACCTCTACAGTATCACCATACAAAGAAGGCACCTCAGAGATACTATCTAAGATTCTCAATGAGGCTGGGATTAGAGTGGCATTAAAACCTACAGACTCACTCCGAAATTAGCTTTGCAGGTTACAAGATCCTATTGATCCAATTAAGCAGAGTAACTTAGTTTACTGAATCCCTTGAAATGATTGCGAGGTCAAATACATACATCAAAGTAGTCGACCGGGGTCAATTGGGCTATTCGAGCACAAAAGCCTGGCTAGGTCAAAATCAGTAGGTAAGGAATTTAGAAAAAAAGCTCAGCCACAGCTTTATGCATGCAACTATACACAACTACACAATAGGATGGGACAGGGTGAAAATCCTTAAAACTAACATAACAGAGTGGATGTAGACTGATAAGTAAACCTTTGTTTATCGAATAAACACATGACATAAAAACTCACACAAATCCACAAAGGGTGTGAGGAAATTAGGACTATATAAAGGATATCTTAGAGTTATGCAGTCCGAAACGTAATTCAGTAAACAATGATGTTAAACTGTATGATAACTCTAATAGACCAATAAATATTACAGAAAATATGAACAATCAATAACATAGAAAGAAACTTGTGAGTTGAGTAAAAAAGTATAACTGATGATTAACTGCTTTGACAACTGATCTCTTATGTTTCTCGAAATACTTTCATGAGAAACGGAACTTCCTCGCTAAGCTCGGTGCTGACTCACCTTACAGTCTAAAACAATCACTACATTCAAAATCTCAAGGTTAGAACATCAAATGGATATATATATATATATATATATATATATATATATATATATATATATACATATATATATATATATATATATATATATATATATATATATATATATATATATATATATATATTGATATGTACATAGGCCGGCGTTTTAAAATAATAAAATTAAGTGATTGGTCATCTGCCAGTCTAAATATATACGCAGTTAACACTTTGATTGATTCATCTCCGGACTGGTTTGTTCCGTCCACTTATCAAAAAGACAAGTCAGAAAAGTTATATAGTTGTCAAACGGAAATAAATAATAAGTCTACATGAGGAAATAAGTTTGTTGAAACAGTTGGAAAATATAAGTAGATACTCACTTTGGAAGTGCTCCAAGTTAAAAAAAAAATAGTGGCATCTCAAATGTTATTACCAACAGCTATTTTAAACTATACTGATTCCCTTAACTTTTGCGAACTTCTTAATTCTCTTCTACCTACTTTCGCTTCTTGTATAAGCACCATTTACCAATAGACCGTTTAGAATGCAACAATTCGTTAATATTCGTGGAAAAATATGCAAGAATACGACTAGCAAAGAATCTTCAGAATGCTGAAAAGGAAGACAGGTAAGCTTCGATCGAAGAAAATTACAACAATATGAGAATTTTCAGATGCCAACCCACAGTGAAACCTAAGAGCATTCCGTTCAATAAGACCGAAAAACCCAGTGTAGATATGATAATGCATTGCGATAAATAACATTTAAGCTGTTCTCCATGAAAGTGATAAAAGCAAATGAGAAAAAAAGAAACTTCAGCTGAAAAATTCAGTGATATAAACCAGTCCCAACCCTATATCCGCATTTAAATGTTACTAAATGAATACGCATCAAGAAATAAATCGAATACTAAATTGCACCTCAACTACGTCCAACTAACATTACAGGCATCGACTTCAAGAAATAACTAAAAACTAGAGGATATAAACTGTGGACACAGTATGACCGTTTACAAACAATTATACTTCCGTTGTAGTAGACGAGATGGCATATTATAAGCTTAAGCAAAACCAGTCATAAATAGCAGAGAAAAGTTTTGGTTAACGAGAAGATAAAAATTCATATTTCACAAGATAGTTTGGGAAAACTAAGCACCTACCCAAATGGTTGAAGCATGCTAAGAAGACCCCGAGGAGCTCGATAACAAAACACCTAATGGATCATGGACATGATGTTGATACCTGTAAGTCCTTTACGGTTATCAGTAGACAGCAAAATAAGAAGTTGCTTCGATATGCAGAAGCCTGCGCAATTTTAGTTGTCAAACCAAACCTATGCATTCAGAAGGAAATGGTAATTAGTTTGGATCTGCCATGGTAGGAATTACAACATTGTCTTTTTTCGCTCTTAATTATTACCCGTCTGATATTTTGTTTTCCTTCCTTGATTTGTTTCACCTAATTAACCTTATTCCTATCACCATTGTTATCATTATTAATCTCAATACACACCTAGTTTTCTTGTTGTCTGCATAAGTACTACTAACTATCTTGTTTTGAATTACGTGATCGGCATTTAATCGATTCACTTCTCATCCCTGTGTCAACAGATTTTCAATGGTTCCCCAAGTGATGTCAGTCCATGATGAATACTACCTCTAAACACTATTATTGTTATTATCATTATTTTCCTACCTGAAATCCACTATTATCCAAACTCACTTAACCTATCCCCAACCCATTCAATTCTGAATATCCATTGCTATCCTTTGTATTACTACTTGAATTGTAAAAACTGTTCACTTCTATGTTGTTACACCTAAGTTTGTCTCGTTCTACGTTATGTAGAGTATCCAACTGACGAGTGCTACTGAAGTTTATGAATTCATTAAATCCTGTTTCTTTTCACATTCGTTGCGTGTTTTAGATTTGTATCAGGAAACAAATGTTTTTAAATTACAGTCAATTTTCAGGATTGGATATCTTCAAACGATTGTGACCAAATATATGTCTACAAAAGCGGACGTCTAAATGGTTTATCTTTGTTTAGAAGTGCGAAATGACGCTTCAGAAATAATATTTACATGAAATTTTTCTACGGTTAATACTTCTTCCGTTTAGGGTCCTTTTCTGTTTCAGATTCGTGTGAAATAAACTTCATGTGAGAGATAATTACTTCGAAGGGTTCAAGTTTCATAATCATCAAAGTAGAAACATTTGACGTGTTGATACGTATGGCTGAAATGTTTGTTTGGAAAGAGATCATACATTTGAAGTATTTCTAACAGCAAATCACTATCATAATGAGCGTTGGTAAGAAGTTATTTTGTTAGCCTGAATCTTATCGAAGTTTCTAAATTCGTTTCGATATAGGCAATGAGCCATATCTATTGTGTGAGGGTTGGTGATAGTACCTGACTGCCCAAACCTAGATAGGAGAAACGGGGTTCAAAATCCGTTGTGGCGCTATAAAGACAGCTCGTTAACAACTGCAGCAATTTAAGGACGAGTCATTTGTTTGTCTGGTGAAATCCCGGTAATTTATACTGTGATAACCTGTCACTTATCTGATTTCAGTGGTTGTACTTCTGCTTACTAAAGAGTACAACGATACAGTATGACAGATATGACGGTTACTGATAGCATATTTGGAAAATTTTGTTCACATCATGTCGCTGGAAGAATCTGACACCTTGCTGCTACATAGATCCCATAAACCTGTGGTTAACATGCAGAGATGTTAGATTTAATGAAAATGTGTTAAGTTTATTCTCTGTTACGCCTTTCTCTTTGTGTTAGGAACAAACACCACTGACCACTTAAAATCCCCATATTTGAGTCCTTTTAGTTGTGGGTAACTAGATTATGAATAAGTTACTCGAAAACATTTCCACTTGTAATGAAATCTTAAAAAAATACAATCCTAATCTAATGAGTAAGTATATAATTTAATATACATAGAAAGTGATACGCTTTTTTAACAAAGAATTCGTAAGATTTTAAAGCGTTTTGGATAGTTTTATTGCAAACGTTTTCAGTATATGCGTAGTATGCAAAGACAACAACTATGTATCACCTTTTGAAATGATGAAAGCTAGTGCGCTTAATAATCGCTAGTTTATACATACTCTTCTTGATTGTCTTTCGTTCATTACATGCAAAATATGCCTTTCTCTAATGAAGACTCAATACTAACCATTAACGACTATAAGAAGTTGTCCGTATGATGAGTACGAATTGGGTGTGAAACAACTAATCCTAGTTGTTAGGTGAACGAACCATTTACATAACAGAGTAGTTAGCAATTATAGTCTGAGAGCGTTAGACTGCAGTTAACTGCAGTCAGTGTACTTTACAATGTCTTAGTTACTGAGAAAATCTGTGTACAATTTCCTAGTATAATTCTCTTAAAACCTGTTTACTGATATGCATGCGACAATGGTGACTAACACAACTTTAAAAGATAGTCAACTCAGTCTAAATAAATCCGAATAGTTTTTATCGCTACCATGAGAGTAACATCTTAAATTCTCTTTTTATAAGGAATTAACTAACGGGTGTAAATAGCATATAGATTTGTCAAAAAATGTGAACAAAGTTTATGACTTTCTTTTTTCAGTTTAGAAAACACAAAAATGTATGAAAAACTCATTTACTATACATATATGCAAATATCCAACTATACAAATGGAAATGTGTTCTGCTGAACTACATTTGAGTGGTAATGAACCAATGTTCATGTTTACCTAAAAATCATGAAAATAAATTAGCAATTAAACAATGTATCAACATCCTTATAAAAGTATTTAACTAAACTCCTAATTAACATGTAAGCATTGTAGTATAATATATAATGATTACTAGACTTACAATGAGCATCTCTTGCCTACCAAATGATCTCAGCCGATTCCTAATCTGAAGATATATATCAAACAGTTGAGGATGAAAACTACTTCAAGTGACTAAGGTTCGCATCAAATTTGTTGGGTGCGTGTGAAAGGCCTGAATTCTATTCGTCAATTTGTGATAGTATTGAAGTCATCGACATACTCGCTGTTACATTACATTAATTGTTGAGGGTACACTGCAGAGATTCACTTTTTGTCATAGAATAGATAAAACTTCCCTACAGTGAATGAAACTACTGATTATTCACCAGCGAAACTAAGTAAAGGATTTTATCATCATTATTTATAGTTTCAAATCACTGAAACTTCGGATCTCTAGGACATCCTTAAATAATTGTATTACATCAGCAATAGTGTCCTTCGTTCATGGTTTCATTGCATAAAATGAACATTTTTATATTCCTTTCAATTGCTCATATTGGAACCCATTAAAAAAAGATTAAAGTGTACCTAAGCAACTGAAGTCGATGTTATATAACAATCGTCATCACGTTGAAAATGTCAACAGACTTGTATGTTGCCGAACAAGACAACGACACCAGAATATTCAATGTCAGAAAGTATTTTTCGACTAACTGATTAACACCACTATCACACGTCTCCTTTAAGAGATAACTAATAAGTGTGATCATTAATGAAGTTGAAGAGAAATGGCGAAATCCAACGACGTTGCCTGACACCAATACTGTTTTACACAAGTAGAGAGATTTAATTGTAAGCTTTTACTGTAACCAAGATATTCTGATATAGAGGATTTCAAAACGTTAATGAACTTCTGACCAGTAACAGCGATGTCAAGAAGTCTTTCTACTGTTAGTCCGTGATATGTAACAGCGTTAAAGCAATTGCTAGAATATAAAGATGTGATTAGTGCATTAGTGGTCTTAATGAACTCTGGCATGCTTACTGAAAGTTACTTCACCAAGCGTTTTTCACTAATTGAGAATTAGAGTGGTACCTAATAGTAGTAAAGACGCAGCAGATAACCAACTTAGGAACTGACATTTGATATTTATCTTCCTCTCAATAATCAGGTAATGTATACGCCTTAATATATTGAACATGGGTCACAATGTAGGCCCTAAACCTGTGGAGGGACTGTGGAGTAGAATTATACTATTCGCCTTTTGAAGACGAGTATGATGATGACGCCATCTTAGATTGACTAAAAACCCAGCTTTTTATTATCTTTCAATTAGTTCAGTCAGGTGCGCATCAAAAAAGGAGAATAGGCCTTTTAGAATTGATACATTTAGCACTTGTAGTCTTTTACGAACCAATACATTTTTAGTCTGGTTAGTATTAACCGACTACAAAACATAGAACTTCAGGGTTAAAGTTTCTGAGATAGTGAACAAGTAAAACCACATTTCGAAATGTTTGGTCTGGAGCCATGGGGGTGTTTTTAAAGACCTATTACGTCTCATGCCATCCAACTTGTCTATCTGTCACTTATGTTTATAGCTCTTCAAGTTTATGAAAGTGGAATTTCGAGGTGGGAGATATGAATAAGAGATGGAAAAGGAATGGTTATAATATAGCTACTAGCAAACCTATGAGTGGAATGAAGTTATATATATATATATATATATATATATATATATATAAACAAAGACCTAGCTTACCTAGTCGTAGGACACCCAGGCCTGTAGTCGAGTCGAATCTGTTAAATGCTTCTTTAACATTTTCAGGTAGTATTTCTGGCTTCTTACCTTTACTTAACAGGTTAACATCGTTTAGGGTAACACCTCTAGTGCAACATATTTCTAAAGCCTCAGATTTGTCTTGAAAATTTGATCCAAGCATAACCAAATCCAAAAGTATATCTACCAGTTCAGTGTGACTATTTTTACACTTCTTAAAGAAATCAGTTGACTTTCGTGAAAAAATAACTGGCAAAAATTTTGATGATGGTTGCAAACATGAAATTAGATAGTTTCTTTCTGAACCGCTCAATTTGTCGTGGATAACTTGTAGGTAACTGATGTTATTTGATCGATCATCATCAATTCGATTTACAGAACTCTTTGGAAAAAATATTCGAGTTGCAAGTTCCGAAGCTTGTAAAGCGTCAGCTACATAAAACAGATAAGAAAGCCATTTTATAATAACAAAAAATAATTCGTTACTAAAAACAGTCGAATAGTTGACATTTGAAGGTGCAAGTAGCATCTAATCTGTGATATGAGTTCAATTTATCAGTTGATTTCTAAAATCAAACTTTGAGAAGAGCTGTACTGAGACATTTTTTATGCAGTAAACACAGTCTATAGTTAACAGACGATGAGTGAAGTCTCTAATTAGAACTTACAATTTATTAGACATGAATGATAATTACAGTGACTGAATTAATCTAAGTAACTGATACAAAATTCTTAACACAGTCAATTAGGTTTCCCAGTTTGTGAAAGCTATGACGTTATGATTTCCATGTATTTATTCCTTAATACTGTGTTATCACACACTACGGCTATTTAATGGTAATTTTTAAACTAAATAATGTTTGTAACTATCAAATATAATTGAACATAAACGTTTAAAATTGGAATTACACAGGTGTAGAGAATGAAATCGCCAAAAAACATCTTCGCTGAACTTCGCGTTTTTTCTCTTATCCAAGAGAGTATTTTTAGTAAGTTAGATTTGCATCACTATTGAAATGAGTTTTTAGCACAAACTGTATCACATATAAAACCAATCATCATCAGTGTTTAAACCCTAAACAATAAAAAGCAGTAGGATGCTTCAATATGGAAACATTTAGTAAGGCCATAAAAAAACTTACCTCCATGAACTAATAAAGTGAGTTCCTGAGCCAGAACTTTTTGCACTATCCGAAGATGAGGATTAATCTGTATTGAAAAGGGATTTAAGAATAAGTAACGACGTGAGATAATTGGCAACAAAACGATTAAAAACCCATCGAAATCCTTGTTTTACTGAAGCTTTCACAGTTCTTCAGCTACTAATTGAGGACCCCCCCCCTTAACGCAACCCAATGCTCAGAAGATTTCAGTACTGCGAAAATTCTAATTTAGATGACAAACAAACAATTTTTTTCTATTGTAAGCATCGTTAAAATTTGACCACTTGACATAACTATTTATTCCCTTCTTGTTAATCAATTATTTAACCCCCTGTGTAAAACTTCGCAAATTTACTGTGCAATTATTCTATACTTAGATAACGTTCGTCTGAACATAGCAAACCAGGTGTATACTGGAATTAATTATAATAACAATGATAAGTACATTAACGAAAGCATACTTGGAGACATTAAATCAACTGGATCACAGATTCCAAAGTTATGTTAGGCATGTTCAAGTTTACAAGCCATGGATGACTACATTGTGAATGACAGATTTATCTCATCATAAAGTAGCTTAGTGGTTATGTGGGATTCTAAGGCTAACGTCCGAACGTTTCGGGAAACATACCATTTCTGACACCTCCCAATCTGTTCGAAATACCACCGATCTAAATAGTACTGGTAAACAACTTGTCTCAGTTGATACCATATTTCTAAAAAATGTGCCGGCTGACGAAACCATTGATGTTATATGTATAGAAGTTGACAATATCCCTAACCCAGAGAACTAGTTGAAGCAGCTGCTACCTATGTGTACCACGCATGTCAAATTTCAGTTTAGCGACCAATTATTTCGTCGAGTTGATGTTGCAATGGGGAGTCCTTACGGACCCAATGTTTGTCAACTTATTTCTTTGAAGTTTGGAATTTATTAGCTTGAAGTTCTTGGTAAAACAGATAGAGCTTCGCCAGAGATACATCTTCATTGTATGTAGAGGCGAAGTGGAGGCAGAAAAAAAGTTTTAACTCATGTCATCCAAATACAACTTTCATGATAGGGCATGAATAAAATTATCTGATCACATGTGAAAAGAACCCATGGGTTTAACGAAAATCATCGTAGACGGGACAGTACACTCATTTTAAGTCATTTCCCAACCCCGTATAAAATCAATGTAACCAAAACGCCGTTAAGTAGAGCCAGAAATATCTGTTTTGACAGCAAAGTTGATTATGAAGTAAGAATCTTGAGAAGTAATTTTAGTATTAAAAAAAACCAGGTTTTGGGGTAGGAAATAAAAAAGAGTCCTTACCAGTATCAATCAAAAAAGCCAGTTTATATCACCTTACTATTTAAAGGTGATGATATGTTAGAGGTAGTTGGGCGAAGACTGGGAAGATTCATCAGAAATACTTACTGCGTTGAAAAGATGATCTTACTGAGTAACGCTAAATGGTACCAGTCCATGAAGTTTGACTGTCCGTTTGAGTCGTCTAGGGAGATGTAGATTGCCTGGTTGAGGTCCCCAAGATAGTAGGAATCAGCTACCGGAGACCCTGCTAAAAAACCGGTCATAGTGGAGAAGCTATGTTTACTCTTTGACGTGCTTTTAAGTTTGAACATTGTCACTAAACTCCATTTATTTCTTCTCCTCTCCTGGCGTGCACTTTTGTCTACTTTGATATAACTCCTTTCTTACCCACTTGTTCTTCGTACGCTGTTGTGAAGCGCAGCAACTTCAACCAATGCATTTCTATGTGAGATAGACCGTTGACTTCGTCGTATCTACGTAAAAGGATACTACGACAATCGGGGGAAAACAGGACCTTGGTCCTTGACACCTCTGAATGCATGCATCAATTCGAATGTATCTGCGTAAGCAAATACATAAGTCGTACAGAGAGAGGCGTCTGTTTATCCGAGTGACTGAGCATCTACCTAAATGATTAAAGCTTGCAGAAAATAAACCTCCGAGAAGCTGAAGGGCGAAACAGCTATGGGTATGATATTAATTCCCTTAAATAATCTACGATCATTAGTATATAGTGGAATAAGATGCAATTGTAGAAGATGCAACTTGAGTTGTTGAACTGAACCTCTGCATCCACAAAGAAATGGCAGTTAGTTTGAATCTATAATGGTAGTAATTGCAACGTGGTCTAATCACACCAAGCTTTTACTACCTGCTCATTGCCTTCAATGACCACCTTTACGATAATGATCTTCTTTCTTCACAAAATCTGTTCCCTCTAATCAAAATTATTACTATTACTATTTTCATGACAAAATATACCATAATTAAGCTGTTTCCTTGTTTCCTTATGAAGTTTACCCCAACACTCTTCTCACACGTCTCGATTGACCACTAAGTCATATGTTCAGAGGGAAGTAATCTGTATTCAGCTCATTGATTGTTCACTCAAAAGAGAACACCATTAGTGTAGGGGGGGGATAAGCAGACATAAAATAATGAATAAAGCTAAGAAATCCTTGTTTTTTTTAGAAAGATCAAATGAGTGAACAGGATTGTCATGCACAAAAAAGCGCGAAAGATTTTCATCAATAAAGTGGGACTATAATAAACAGAATGAAAGAAAACTAAAGGGGAAATTATTACGCGAAAATCGAAGGGTTGTGAAATTAAAGACATGGTAGCAAAAGGGGCTGGACGAAATGTTTATGTACACAGAGTTCAGGATACTCTTTGTGAATAACCAGAGCCTCTGCTGTACAAAGAAGACAGTCGAAATCCTTTTGAACGGCTCCATATCACTGTATACATCACATCAAATAGGTTTTGTAGAGATGGTGTGTGACCTGCTACAACAATTTGTTCCAAAATAGAGTTGTTTATCGATTTGGATTCTGTTTCTATGGACAACACAATGAAAACCAAGTTCTACAAGCTCGTTTATCGAAAGCAATTTGAAGAACATTCTTCGCTGCATCCCGGCGTCCAACTTTCTCCACACAAACACTAGTTTGCTAAGACGTCAAACAAAAAGTTTCGTTGCTGGCAATATCCATGTGTGTATATAAACCTACTCGCTCCTGTGGGGTTGAGTACACAGGTTGTACCAGCAGGATACCATCAAGACGTGTTCACGAACATTTACCAGCATGGTTATCGATAACAGAATTCAGATCAATAAGGAGATCTACTTTGGGACATATCGTTCTGGAAAGTCACACAGTATCTGTGCATAACTCCTTCCATGTAATGTATAAGGTGAGACTGAGATGTTCAAAAGGATTTAGACTACTTATTCTTTGTAAAGCAGAAGCTCTAGCTATTCGCAAGCAGAATCCTTAACTCTGTGTACATAAGCATTTTGTTCAGTCCCTTTTGCTAGTAGGTTTCATTTTCACGACTAATTGGTTTTTGGGTTGTAATTTTCTCTTTACTCTGCTTTCATTCCGTTTGTTATAGCTCCATTTTATTAGCCGAAATCTTTCCATTAGGAACCCAAGGGACAAATAATAATAATAATGTGTTGAACAGTGTTATTGTATGGGATATATGTGATCAAGTATGTAGCGTATCTTGCTGATACATTCTATTTGTCTATGGATTCAGTATATCTTGTTAGTCTTTTTAACATTCGATGCTTGTTTTAAATTTATGTCGGGAAATGTTTTCAGTTTTTAAAAAGTAATATCGTAATTTCTTTGATTAATTATCGCCATTTGATACTCTGACATTGATAATCTATTCGCACTTCCCCACTCTACTTTTATTTTCCATACAAAAAGATAAGTATTCAAATGTAATAAAATTGTGATGAATGAATCATTGCAAAGGTAGGGGAATTTGAATACTGTGAAAAAATATGACAAGTTGAAACGCATAATTTTCATGACTGACCTTCGCTGACTTCTTCGCCTAACAACAATATTAATGTAGTGTAGATGGGAGTGTTAACCACTTTGACGAATTATTCCATTAACGCTACATCCCGGTACTAACCGTATGCTCGCGAAAATGTTCACACAAGAGCAGCAGATGCTGTATTTTTAACCTGCTCAAACCAACTTTTCTTCAATGACGGTGATTTAAATAGCGAACATTTCATCCAACATATATCTACTGAGTTGGGAAACTAAACCATCATTCCAAAGTGAATGTCAATCGATGTTGCAGATTTTTATCAAAAGAGGTGACGTATAATCCAAACGATAAATGGTTGGCTACTTGATATACTAAGTACGGATCAAACCCAATCGTAATGGAAGCGATGGGTATACTTCTATCTTAATATGTTTTACAGACAAACCATAGTATACTGTTTAGTTACCATAACTTGGTTTGATTTCATGAGCCTTTTCTTCTAGTTTTTTAAAAAAAACAATTATCATTCTTTCCACTACTTTGCCGGTTCATTTGGTTTCCTTTAGTTGTATTATTTATGGAGCTTATATAAATAAGACACATCTGCATACAACGTTTGCCGCTATTTTCACCTGGTCTTGCTCTCATAACGAGTAATCAAGTATCTGTTTGCAGTGGTACACGAAGCGGCTTTGTCCTAAGTAAACGTTGGATGATTAAAGATTGTTTGAGGCTGTTCAGCCAAAAATAACAGAAAGTTGTGAATTTAAGTTTTTGTTTTCTGGCACGTACTCTTCAAGTGAAAAAATTACAGTCAGATTAAGGACTTAAATCTATTTAAGGTTGCAGAGACACTTTGCTAATTAGTGCCAGAAAGCGCCAGCTAGCTTTTAACACGCTACCAAATGAAGCGCGACCATAATATTTAACCAATATTATTTAAATATTATGCGAAAGCCCCATAAAGGCTTACATGACAGACTAGGAGCCATAAACACACTGTAAGAAAATCAGAAATGATTGTTATAACTTTGAGAAACAAAAGATAGTAGAGGGCACTACAAAACTCTTCAAATAGTAACTGAAGCTTTTTGAATATAAGAAAAAACTTACCTTATGGTCAGCTAATAGCTGTTTAATCTCATCTGGCGATAAAAAGGTTAACTGTTGAACTAGTTTGTCTGATATAATAGCATCCGGTAGATTCAGGATTTTTTGGTAGAAGCTATAAGGTTTTAACTTGTTCCCCATTAACCAGAGAGTATCCATCCCACTTTCGGAGCTGGAAATGGATTTGCCCAATTTCTGACCATCGGGAGTAGTTATCAAAGGGATGGTTAAACCTAAATAATGAGACTAAATGATAAGTCCTCATTTAAAATCTCCTGTGAGTTATTTGTAATTTATGCTCGGAGTAAACCTGACTTAGGAACTATTTAAACAAATGAACGGTTGAAGTTTACAACATTTGATTCGTGAAATGAAGTCGTCGAACTACTACTGGTAACGGTCTTCCAGATACACCACGCAATGCAACTACTTATTGGATTCAGTTTTCCTCTTAGCCCCTGAGTATTTTCTCCAACTGTTAGCGTTCAATAAAATGCGAAAATGCTCACAGCAACCAAGAGCACAATCGTATAGTAGGCAATAAAGCATACCTTATGTGTTTGGGCTTATGCCACCATGTGGCTGACCACATCTACGTAATTAGAGCCTTGACCCACTGGTTGAAAGTAAACTACCTAAACCAATGAGCCACAGCTCCAATGAAACTAGTTACCAAGTTAAAACTACAACTCGTAATCGATCACTAGCAATAAGAAGAATTACGATATATGGTGTTTAAAGCTCGTTTGAATGTTACAAATCAAAGTTTATCCAGAAGGACACTGTGCCAGTAATCTGGAATCTCGGGTACATTTTTACTGAAGATATCGTCTCCGTATCATTAAGAACGATGTTAAAAGTTCCCCTATCAGGAATTAGAAAATGATATAATCGACGAGTATCCTTGAACAAAAACTGAAGAGAAATATGACAGCGAGGAATGAAGTATTCATTCTACAGAAGGGGGGAAGCACCACTTGAGTATGCTCTCCTTGAACGACGTATTCTGATTGAATCGACCTTATAACTAAAGCTTTATGTGAAGGGGGTTTAGACAAACAGAGTGAAATCGTTTCTGCAGCATGTTATATTATAGTAAAGGTCAGACTGGCGTCTATGGAATCACATATGTGCAATACAGAAATCCTGATTGATGGAACTTTACCTATCCCAAACAAAAAATAATGCTATAGAATTCAAGGACTGATCTACTTAAGTTTGTGCTTAGTGGGGCTTGTTCCCCTGGGAGAGTACTGTGGTAGAATTTAACATATAGGACAAAATCAACATAGAACCTTACACAGAAGTGCATCGGTTTAAGCTGCAACACTTCACATTAATTTACAAAGAACAAGCGTATAGGAAAGACTGATATCAACCTGGAGAAAGGTTTTTGGGAGGAGAGGAAATTTATAAATTAAGGTTAGCCAAAATATTCACGCTCCAGAAGACATCAAATAGTGAATACATCTGTCCCATTGTGACTGGTTCTCAACTGTTTTACCAAAGGTCTCCAACTACTGATTCCTATCATTTTGACGACCCATAGCAGGCAGTCAGAGATTTTCTCGGCTAGTGCCGCGTCATTGTCTGGTCACCGTGATCCCTCTTCTAGTCTAATCCTACACTTCGGCTAACATTACACGTCGGGTTAGGCTGTGAGTCGGCATGAGCAACGCATTCTCAAGCCACCTCAGTTGCCGAAGGATTTACAACTTTATCGACTTACTTGGGTTCCTTTCGTAGAACCCTTCGTCTAACCTCGACATTACTCACACAGTGATTCCACTACAAGCGAGCAATGTTACGAAGACGCCTATGGTCAAAAACTGTAACCGCTTCATGTTTTCTACTCTTAATGGCTGTATCAGTCACATAACAGGACATAACAAACTGAAGCGTAGTATATTCATCCTTTGATAGATAGCGGGATACCTCGCCAGTCGACGCCACATATGATGCGAGTTAGCAGACACCAAATGAACTTCCCTTACCCGAGTTCAGATTTCGTCAGCAACCAACCTCTTAGGACTGATGCAACTCTCTAAGTAGGTGAAATGGTCGACATATAACACCACTCGGAATACTTGCAGCAAACCAGTCTTCGAGCATCATCTTATGTTACAGGTGAGAAACGCCTACCAAACACATCCACATTTCTGATCATCACGTTCAAAAGGCCCTCTCCACATTTTGTCAGCGTCTTACCCCAGCAGGTCAACATCGTCTGCATACTCCAAGTCAACGAGACGACCTCCAGGAAGTGGGCCAATCCTCGTGAAGTCAGACGTACCTAAGGTTATGTCCCTTAGTACGTCTATGACAAAGTTAAACAGGAACGGTGATGGTGGACATCACTGGTGAACACCACTAGTTGTCGTCAATTCACATGTCAACTCTTCGTAAGCCCTTAAACAATTGGGTGGGTTACAGTAGAGAGCTTTGATTAGCATCACATAATTGGTCGGTACTCCCTTTAGTCAGACGCTTTGACAACACTTCACGGATGACAGTAAAATGCCGCCATCAAGTCAAGAAATACGATGTCGGCTGCCGATAAGTGTGCCTGCATTCAAGAACCTGTTTGAAGGTGAGAATATGATTGATGCACCCTCGTTCAAGTGTAAAACCTGCTTGGTTTTCTCGGATTTTCTGTTCTTAGGCTCCAGTTAAGCCTTGGATAACTATGGACCCTGGGATCTTGCGGAAACTAGTTAAGCTGATTCCCCAATAGTTGTCACCAGAAGAATTCTCTGCCTTTCTATAGACTAGAATGATGAGTGAAGTAGACCTATCTGGTGGAGATACCTTTGATTCGCATACACTACTTAGTACCTCTGTTACTAATCAGCAATCTCCCACCTCCATCCTAAAAAATTCGAGTGACAAATCGTCTGGTCCTGCAGCTTTGCATCATTTCAGGTTCAAAACAGCCCTCTTAACTTCGAGATTTCAAGGACCGACATCTACGTGCCATTTAGGTTCAGGCTGGATGCCTAGCAACTTAAGCGTTGCTGTGGACTAGTTGAACTGGGCTCCAAAGTCTTCCGCTCAACGTTCTAGCCGTCTATCCTATCTATCAGCGTCCCATCCTTTTTGGTGACGATTTTGCAAACCATTGCCTTCTTCTTGTCGATATCCTTAATAGATCTAAGTAGTTGCCGAGTGTTACTTAGTGCTGATACCTTCTTCATCTCTCGCTTTTGCCACCCATCACTGCTCTCGATCGTTGCTAATACTTCTCAATTTCCAAAGGTTTGGTGAGCGATGCTTGTCATCCGATTTGGCATAGAGTTCGGATATTGAAAGCTCCTACATGAAATCGACGGCGTTGATCGTGGTCAGTGGTCGCAGTGAAAGGTTCAGGAAATTGTAAGATACTTGATATTAGTGTCAGAAGGTGAAAGCAATGGAGGAGATAGAGTTGAGGAGGATAGGTTATGTTTGAGTGGGTCTTGTATTCAGCTGGAAATATGAGAGTGGTTGACACTTTCCGGCTTCCCATACTGTGGAAAGCTTATTCTTCTTAAGGCTGCTGGAAGGGATTTGTGCTACCCCAGAGCCCATGGGACATCTGCTAGAGGACTGTTACACACAGACTTCAGTACTGTTGATGTGAGGTTTGATTATTCTAACACCAGATAGGGAAAACCCATATCATCAGCACTGGAAGACCACGGAGCAGGGAGGAGTGTACAATTTTGGGGGCAGATCCTTTATAACCTCTCCTGCTTCAACTAGGAAGGCAATATCAGCGTGGTACCGCTGGTTATCCTAGGGGAACATCTTTGCTGCTGTGACATCCCATCCAGTTGGCAGTGCGACTTCGCCGTCCGACCCCCATCATTGTGTCGCAGTTCACACTAGAACGGTAACTACTTTTCGCCCTACCATTATCCAACAGATCTTTCTGGTATAATAGAACCTCTTGGTAACAAGCGTTCTGCTCGGTGTAGCTTGTTGGAGCATTGTGATATACAACTCCAACCACAACGTTAAGGTTGCAACTATCTGTCGGATGGTAGATTGTAATTCCATTTAGTTGATTAATTACTTGTATTACACAACGGAACATAATTCAGTAGATTATACTACCTCACTGTATGATATATCTAATAACTAAAATGGAACAGCTAAACTGATATCAGCAAAATGATGGTAAATCATCGCCAAAATAGGACCAGGCATTACTATGCAGCGGTTTACGCTCATATCAGCGTATTAAAATGAAAGATGAAGAAAGGAAGAAAGAGAAATCGGTCAATGAGCAGTAGAAAACAGCAAAAGAGAGGAAGAAGGAATGAGAAAATACTGAATTTACCACAGCAATTAAGATTAAAATAATGTGTGGATACGTCTGAGCCATTAACATTGATTCTGAGCTATATCAATTAGTTTCCAGCCACCGGTTTCTCTTGTTACGTGGATCCATATCGGTTAGTCTGCATCTTTCTACATGACTCAAACATACAGTCAAAGACTTTTGATAGTGATGTCATTCCAAACCCTTTTCCGGCCGGAGCTTATTTCAGCTAACATTGTGCGACGAGGCAAACGGGGACTAGGTATGGGTAACGCATATTCTGGTCACCTCAATCAATGAGGATTCACAACCGCATTAACTATCTTACCCCTCCACCCTAAAACTCTACACCTCACTTCTGCGTTAATCACGTGATGACACTACGAAACAGCCAATGGTACGAAGGTAATAGTAGTCAAATACTTGAAGTCTTCTCATCTAGTCCACCTTTAATGGTCATTTTTCACAGCAATTCAGTAGGACAGAGCGAACTGCAACACAATACACTCGACTCTTAATAGACATTTAGATACAATAGCGACGCCACATGGCGAAAGTAAATAGAGCCTTTTGTATCCGTGCAGAGATTTCGTCGGCCACTGACCCACTAGGGCTGAAACAATTTCCCTAATAAGTGGAGTGGTAAGCATACTGAACTACTTCGCTCCCTACTGTTAACCGGGGCACCACTGAAGGCAAATCCTAGAACAACAATTTGTATTTGGGTGGCCAGAAATGCGTCCCAAAAGGTTGCAAATGATTCCAAAATGTCCAGAAGAATCTGAATCTTGTCAGTTTTCTCCTAACAGGACCATGCCATCGCCGTACTCCAAATCTAACAAGGATTCAACTGTGATAAGTTCAAGCCCTGTTACATCAAATGGTAAGATGGAGACCTTCATAAGTATGTCTATGATAAAGTTGAATAAGAATAGGGACAGTGGGCATCCTTTACGGACAATGCTCGGCGTACATAACTCATCATAGGCTTTTACACACCCACTCGTGTTCCCGTACAGCACAGTCAACAGTGATGCACTTACTTGCCACTTTTTTCAGTGAGGGTAATCGCCAAAAGACTAGATGGTCGATGGAGTAGAATGCCACCTTCAGATGGAGAAATGCAGTAAGTATCGGGAGTCAGCGTGTCTGTATCAGAACCTGGAGCAGTTTGAATATCCAGTCGGTACACTCACGACCTTCTATAGTTTGTTGTTCCTGATCTCCGCTCATACGTTTAATGATTACAGGTTGATTCCTGTGTGGTTATCACAAGAAAACGTCCCATATTTCTTGGAGTCTGGAACAATCAGTGACTGATATAAGACAGAAGGGATCATATATGACTCCCACATACTCGTTAATGCCTAACTTGACTAAAAACACCCTACCAAGCTCCTTATATATCTCAGCAAGCAGTCCGGCTGGCCCAGCTACCCTTCTTCGTTTTAAGTTACCCCACTGCTCTCTCGACTTTTGTGTGTTGGGGGTCTTATCTCGATGTTCTATTCAGGATCAGAGCGGATGGCGTGCAACGCAATAGTAGCTGGAAGCCAGTTCAACTGTTCCTCGAAATATTCTGCCCATCGTCCAAGTCATTTCTTATGCGAGTGAACTACAGACCCAATCTTTTCCGCTACAGTCTCACTACCCTTTTCGCCCTAGTTTTCTTGATAAGTTTAAATAACTGTCTACTGCTACTTATTGCCGCTGCTATCTTCCACCTCTTTAACCTTCGCTACCCACCACTGTTCGCAGCCAGCACGTGAACTTTTGTCAGTCTATGTTCGAGTTGCATTTGCTCCTCGATGTGCTCGGAGCCTGCATGGATACGTCCGCGTGCACCCATTAATTCAGGATAAGCTTCTGACATTCACCAGCTCCTTTTAACCACTCTTTCGGAGTCAGAGACAGTCTTCATTGCTGTCTGAACAGCAGACTGGAGATGGCGCCAAGCTTCTTTCGGATGAGTTGTAATGTTCAGTTCTGATGACTTTCAAACCAGTCTCTCACTGAAAGCGGCTTAGGTGCTCTCACTGTCGAGCTGTACTCACAGCGGTATTTCTGCTCTGTTTTCCCTACATTCATTTATGTGCAGACATACGCGGGTTTGAATCAACACGTGTCGAAACACACGATCCAGGAGGAGCCGCAATCTTCCACCGTCCCTCTCCATAGATGACTGATAGCAATGTAGTCTATCTGTTCCCGCCACTGAGTTGAATTTGGTAGACGCCACATTCGACACTGTCTTTATGTCTGAAGTTTTTACTGGCTAGAAATAAATGTTTATTTGAACAAAGTTGTGGTAGGCGATCACCGTTATCTATTCGTTCGGCTGTGATTCCGAAAGTCCCCTCAAATACTTTTCTGTCTGACAGCCTACCTACTTGATAATGACATATTGAGAGGTATTCATAATCCCTGGAATGAACACCGGGTGCCCACTTAGGCCAGTTAGATTATATTAGCATGTGACATGACATTGATACGTGGTAAGGTTGCCAAACCCTACATCAAAATGCAAGGCAACAAGATAAAAGGAAACTAGAGGGAAATAATGTAGCTGAGTCACGGAAAGGTATTAGGAGGACAGGAAGTAAAACAAATATAGAAACCTGATACAACAATAAAGATGAAGATCAGGATTGGAAGTATTTAAGAAACCAAGACCGATTTTGAGTTATATGACTTAGTCTTCAACCACCAGTTTCGATTGTTACACGGACTTTGACCATGAAATCTAAACCTATTTAAATAGCTCACACCAACAACCAGGATTCACGGACTGATGAGACCTTCAGGCATGGTCAATCGAAACCTTTTTCCGACTTTTCCTCAGCTAACATTAAGCGATGAGATGAACGGTGACTAGGCATGTGGGACATATCTTAGCCACCGGAATCGATGACGGTTTATCGCCTCGTCAACTGAAAAATCTTTTACCTAAGACTTTAGACCTTACTGGTACACCGTTTACTTTGTGGTCCCCAACACGTGTACGACTATGATCTCGATTAGCGTTGAGATCTGCATAATATACTAGCTCGGTACTCCTTTCAGTTACACCCGACACCTCTTCAGTGACAAGTTAAATTCAGCCTTCAAATCCATGAATGCAATCAGTCTCAAGGCACCGATAAGCATGTCTGTCTTTAAAGACCTGTCGAATGATAGAAATATGATCAATACATTTTTATTCAAATAACAAATCTGCCTAGTTTTCGCGCGTTTTCTGTTCTTCAGCTTAGACACGATATAAATATAACTGTGGTTTTCATGGACAGACTTCTCTGTTTCCTAATATGTTGACTTATCCAACAATTTTGAGCAGTATGATAGGAATACCTTTGATAAGTAACTCAAATTACTGGATAAACAACCAATTGTTCGTAAAAGAGGTTTTTGCTTCGGATAAGCGTGAGTTGAAATTTACTCATATGAACTTAACCAGAATTAAATGTAATTGTATTTATTAGGATATTCGTGAGAAACGAGTCGGAGTACAGAAAAGACTTGTATATTTTGGTGACGTATGGGCAGGCATATCTTGTAACGACATTGCTTGTTATATGTTTAATACCAATTAAACAGTTTGTTTGCTGAATGAAAATTACAGCAAAATCAAATATGTGAGGGATAGCTAACAATTAAAATCAAAACATTAGAAGAAACTTACCAAAGACACGCTGATCAAGTTTGCGATAAATGAGATTTAATCCACAACTTATATTACCAATCTGATCATGTCCACCAACCTATATTAGGTTTGATTTTATATACTTGATGCATACCTGCATGTAACAATTGTATTTTTCATGCAAGTGTAGAAAGTCCATTGCTTGTACTACGGGATAAAGAAATTCGCTAAGATCCATAGTATTAGCAGTTTCCAATCTTAATTTAACACTAAAAAGGTGGACAATAAAATACTTTATCTTCAGTAATTTAGCAAACTAGCTTAGTGATAACAATTTATACACAGTTGCTGCAAGACATGTCTAACAATATGCTGAACATTTGTAGTATAAACCCATCTTGAAATTAAATGAGGACCGCTTCAGACAGAAAATGACTCGAGACACTTTTTTATCTGTGCTGGCTGGTAAAAAATAAGACAAAAGATTTCTCACGATTGAATAGAACTACTTTGGAATGACGTTTGCAGAGCTGACGTTATAGGAAACATAAACTTACCTTTCTTTCTCCAGTAGTTCTGGTAACTTAAAAAAAGGCAAAAATTTAAGCAAAAGATCTATCATTGTCACATTTGACAGCCAGTCTCTATTGTTGACAATATGGATGGATCCTAGGTTTTCGGATGAAGATATACGCGGAGCGATTTGTGCTTGGTAATTGCTGAAAATTTGGACAAGATTCTGTTCTATAAAGGTGGAGTTGGATGCATACTGATCACTAGACTGGTAGTCACGTTTTTTTATCCTGCCACTAGGGTCTCCCAACACACAAGTACATCCACCAATCTTGTGAAAATTCAATATTACTGTAAATATGGTGACGTACAACTGCAATAATATCCTTCCCAGACAAGTGACACCGGAGTAGGCCACATACAGCTGCAAGATTACCCAGTTGTAAGCTATCGCTTGTAGGATCAAATCCACAGTACACAGAGAACCTTTTAGTTGTTTCAAGGTCTGACAAGTATTTTTCACTTAAAAAATGTCATAATTATACACTCATCAAAAAGTACCTCTTGTTTGGCAAAATTTCCGAATAGTAACCATCTTTTATGTAGTCACCAATCTTTTTGTGAATGTGGTAATTCCTACAAGTGAACACATGTACAACATTTGACTGAAACGAACGGCGTAGCGTATACATTTAACAGTCTCAACATCCAACATCAATAGTGGGAGTAGCGGAAACCTGTAGTTTTTGAGCTCTCGCTTCTAGGTCTTGAGGCTCGGTTCTTTTTGTTCGGTAGTACTCCGTCGATGGTTGCAGAAGTCTTTGCTTTTTCCTGCTCATAGCTTTGGAGTTAGTGTTTGTCTATTTGAAGGTGTATAATTGCAAATTGTAGCTTGGTTTGTTTGGGAGGGGGGGCAGTTGAGCTGCCGATAACATCAGTCAACCATTCTCAGTTCCTGTTGTTGTAGGCGCCTGCAAGTAAGTGCTAAGCGTTACTTAGAAAGTGATAGAAAAGGGGTGAGTGGAGAATGAGAAAAGAGAAGTGAAAAGTACTTCTTAAAAGATAAATGTTACTAGTGATAATATAGAGGAGAGGTGCGTCTTACTGCAGATACTAGGGTTGGAGGATACAAGGGAAATACAAGGATGGAAGGGCGTATCATCAGTTGTTACTAACAAACGTTCGATGTAGGCTATTGACGCTCACATACTCATCCAGTAGTCGTTTAAAGGAGTTGACTGATGTAGCTGTGGCCACTGCTTTCGGCAGCACGTTCCATAGGGCACATACTCTATGAGGGAAGAAGTTAGATCTCACTCCAGTTTTTGACCTCTGGTGGGGTATGCGAGTCGGGTTGCCACAGGATTGCTGGTTTTGGGCCGATAGTGTTGTCCTGTGTGGGTTGTCCACTTGGTGAATGATCTTGTAGGCCTTTATCAGATCACCTCGTTTTCTTCGATAGCTTAGTGTGAACAAGATGAGTTGTCTGAGGCGTTGCCCATATGTTTTACTTGTTAGTCCGACAACCAACTTTGTCGCTCTTCTCTATACCTTCATGGGAGAACTTGCATCTCTCTTTAAAAGTGGAGGGGCTGTCGTGTTGAATACCTCAAGTTGTGGTCTAACGTAGGTTTCGAATACCATGAGGAATAGCTCTGGGGTTAACAATCCAGGCTGCCTTCTTCGAAAGTGCAAAACGGCGTTCGTCTTTCCTGCTATTCCATTCTTGTGTGTCAAAAAGGTTTAGTCCTAGGTCCTTCTCCGTGGATACCTTGATGATTGCACACTTATTAAGAGTGTAGTTGATTTTCATCGCCTTTGACGTGCGAAGATACATCACCTAGCATTTCTCCAGATTGAAGGTAAAACCATTTGCAGCTGACCAGGAGTCCAGCTGCAACAAGCTGTTTTAGAGTATCCTAAGATCCTCTTCGTCGTCTATCGTCCCCCACATTTTGATGTCCTTGGCGAATAAGAGCTTAGATGGGGAGATTTTAGTTAAGGAGGTCGTTTATGGGCAGCAAAAATGGGAGTGGTCCAAGGATTGCTCTTTGAGAAACTCCTGTCCCTGCATTCCTCCAGGTTGATCGAGTTGTGTTTACTTTAGTGCGGAATTCTCTGTCCTCTAGGTACACTGTAAGCAATGCTAAAAGTGGTCCAGTGATACCCCACTTTTGCAACGTTAGCGAGCATGATGCAGTGTGAGACGCCATCGAAAGCTTTGGCCGAGTCCGAGAAGATAACGTGGACCGATTGCTTGTTGTCCGATCTAGTGGTACAGTCACCCAGGCGGTCATCCGGTTTGTGGAACGTGACCGCCTGGTTCTGAAGCCATGTTGGATGAGATGAATTATGCCGTCTCCGCTCAGGTAGTCCTAAACAGCATGCGCAGCCAGGCTTTCTAGTGCTTTGGAAGGTATGGGAAGTGATGCTATCGGTCTGTAATTGCACGGGTTCTTTCGGTCTCCTCCCTCAAAGATTGGTGAGAGGCTGGCGCGTTCCCATCCATTGGGGAGTTGACTTACTTCCAGCGAGTGCGTGAACAGGTTGCATATGGGTATACTTAGCACTTCGGCACAGCTACGTGGGACCACCGGTTTTATGTCTTCACAGCCCCACGGTTTCTCTTTTCTCAGTGTTGAAAGTTTCACAAACACTTGGTTTGACGAAATCTCCACGTTCGTCAGCTTTGTATCGCAATCCTGAGACTTCATTACACTGCGAGGTGTTGATAGTGGACGTATTACTGGGTTCAGTCGTTCGTCAAATCGACTGCTCAACAGTTCCGCTATCTCACTGCTGTTCATAGGCTTTCCGACCGGTCCTGCGACCAGGTTTAAGCTTTTATTCGTCGGTTTGCGTTGTGACATAAACCGATAAGGACTTTTTGGATTGTAACTTAACTGCTTAGTCAGGTTGCTTTGGTATTTATACCTGTCATTACGAACTCTTATATTACACACGGTGCGTAATGTCTTGTAACTACGACGGTCTGATTCCTTGCGTGATGTACGCCACCGGCACCATACCTTCTTTTGCCTCTCTATTTGCCTTTGGGTTGCTTGGGTTACCCAAGACCGTTTGAGTGGTGGCCGTCTGGTTAATTTTGGAACGCTCTTTTCGATAGCGCTCCAGATAATATCTTTAATCTGTATCCAGTGTTCGTCTGTTGACGGTGAGTGCCATTCTTGTAACCATGCGGCCTCCAGCAGTCCGTTGTTCAAGAGGTGGTAGTCTACCTTCCGGTAACAGCGGAACACTTCTGGTTCGACTATCGGTGTTGTCTCCATGGTTATCAGAGAGAACCTCACCAATGCGTGACTGCTTTTACCTAGGTGGGGCGTTGGACATAGATATTGCCCACCAAAAGACCATCATCGTCTGTTAGAACGTAGTCGAGTGATGATCCTCTCTCATCTGGTCCCCATCTGGCGTATTCCTCAACCTTCTCCATCAGTCCTGCCGCCATGAATGTATTTAGAAGTTTGTGTTTGGAAGATTTAGGCCCACATCCTACCTCACACCCCTGGTTGAGTGCCGGTGTGCTGAAGTCTTCGGCGAGGACAAGATGGTTATAAGCTGCCGAGGTTGTTGTTGAGATGGAACTGAGCAATTGTGCCTTATACTGTCATGAAAAGAGAAGGCCTACATACCACTCCTTTTAGGTAATTGGTTTGGTCTATGGGGCAAGAGCACCATGAGGAGTCTGGTAGTAAGCTGAACACACCATCAGTCACTTCCTCGACTGTTAGACGAGTGCTAATGTACATGGCAACTCCTCCGCCTTCCTTGAACCGCCCGTATTGTCGGAGCAAGGTCATGCTAGGCAAAGATATTTCCCTATCCACAATGTCTTCTGACAGCCATGTCTCCGTGGGGAGAGTTATGTCTACTTGCAGACCATGGCACATAGCTTCTAGCCCCAGTAGTTTACTCTTAAGACCACTCACATTGCTGTAGAAGCATGTTAAGGAGCTACGTTCTGGGCTTAGTGCGATATGGGGACTTGTTTGAAGGCTAGTGTGCAACTGCCTTGGATGCTGCCTGCCAGTCCCCAATGGACTGGCAGATCTCCGTTTTTTGGCCCCCCTTGGCATCCTGCTGCTGGTGTGGCAGTATTGTTTGTTGTGCCTACAGGTAGCTCACTAGCTAATTCTTTTCTGACTAGTACTGCTTGTAGTGTTCTCAGGGGTTGCCTTCCATGTTCTAGTCTAGCAGCTCGTGGTTTACTCTCACAACATCGTATAGCACCTCCTATGTGGTCCTTCACACGGTACCATGCTGTGGGAGCTTCTGTTAGTGATGCTTTGCAGTCGAAGCGTGCAGCTGGCAATCTTGGTGAGGAGATGATCTGCAAGTGCGTAGATCTTGGTAACCTACTTACGCTGCTGGCAGGTAAATTTCCAAGTCTCATTTTTGCTGCTAAACACCTCCACTGCCCGACATCACGAAGATGATTATCAAACTTTATGGATCCATCCCCCAGTTTAGGTATTCCGTGCACCACCATGGTTGCAGCTTTGTGCGGATCACCAAGAGGGGACTTTCTCTATACCTCTGTGGTGACCCATAGTTCGTCTTGCTTCACCACTATAGGTCAGGAGCCTCTGGTGTCTGGTCGGCACGACAGCAGCAGTTTGTTCCTCGGCTGTTTTGCCGTCATTGGTGATACCCTGAGTGGTGGCGGCTTTTTACTCCCAACTTTCTGCAGTAGTCATCCTACTTCTCCTCATCAAACTGTTCTATTTTTTCTAAGAGTGAGTCTGCTGGTACAGGGACGTTGAACAGAATGATGGAATCCGTCCTCTCGTCCTGTAAGTGCGGAATATCAGGCTTATTAGCCGGTGCTTTCGGCCTACCCCTTGCCCTATTCACTTCCATCCATTCGTTCCCAGAGAAATCTATTTCCTCAGGTTGTTCAGTCCCGTTGGATCGTCTGGGTGGCGGTGATATAATAGGGGGCATTTTTGGTGTCTCGCTTGGATTGGGAATCACTGTTTTCCTGTCCCCAGTTGCGGCATTTTTGCACACCTGCAGAGCATGACCAGTTTCCGGGGGAAGATTATTGGGGCTTACTCTTTATAACATTTTTGACCGAACTAGGTTTTCCAGTTTGCCAGTGGTGATAGCCGGTGAGTTCCGATACTCTGGGCACATATACCATATCCATTTACATGGGTACCTTCCCACAAAGCTGTAATGCTGCCCTGTTAAACCATCACCACAATTACAGTGTACCCGTTTCAGGCAGATGTTGCACACAAAGGCTTTTTGAGTCTCTGACACCGATTCTTTGCAAACACCACGGTCGTCAGAGGTTTGCTCTTCGCTGATGACTGGGCAGTTTGCTTTCTGTAGGGCGATGTTATATATAGCGCGCTTTCTCCATGCCTTATTTCCCACCAGCGGTATGACTGGGGATGTGGTAACCCCACCCCAACTACAGGGGTTTGCCGGCTTCGACAAGTGCTGTGCCTGGCGTGACAGGGCTATGGGGATCTTAGGCGGTGGTCCTGTTGCTGCGCCCATCTTTTCTGCCCAGGCTAGATTCTGTCCACACGCAGACCTCGTTGTGCAATTAAGGGTTTGCGATCTAGTGTATCGTACCTTTGTGGTTAAGCGGTTTAATGTGTGTATGAAAAGGAGAATAAAGCGTGGGGTAAATGGTCTACCAACTTAAACTCGTTACTCGATTTCACTCACTTT